GTTAGTGGCCAAGAATAGAGCTATCTATGAACACGAATAGACTAATTAATAGGTCAGGCTGAAATGAAATTTAATTATTTTTAATATGTAAATAATAAGTTCAATTATATTAATTAATTTATAAGCGCTAATTAGAGCTTTATTAAGCTGTAGTTTAATTAAAACACATATGATTTAATTAAATCCCTACCCACGTTACTGAAAATGTTGCATACCAGTAAGATAATAAGTGTTGAAATCTGTTATTTGAGTGTGAGACGGCATTCTCCATGGCCGACCCATTCTCCAACACTTATGTGTCAGAGGCAAGTCTAAAAATCACATCACACTTCCTTGAGCGCGATGGAGGAGAGTGAATAGCCTGCGCGACTAGTGCATGTGGCGATGTGAGTCAACACCGCGAGCTAAGGGACTAAAGTAGACCTCAGCGCCATCTAGCGGCGGACAGACTTTTATTAAACTTAATTAAATCTTGCAGGGGATAACACCAAGTTCCTTAACATATGGCAACACCTACTTACTCGAGAGAGGATTTAACGACGAATATGACTCGACACTCTTGTTTGTCACCGGACTTTTCAAAGAAACCTTTGGCGAAATCACACTTAACATTAACTACATAAAGTCTTTATTAAAAATGATAATAAAAGCTAATAAATGTTTATTAAACCCTCTTTGTTAACAAGTTTTAATCAACATTTAAAACCTTTTATAAACGGTACTTGTTAAAATTAATTAAAGTCAATAAGCACCCGTGATAAAATTAATTAAAACACAGCCCCTAATAAAAAATTAATTAAGAATTTATCAAAATTTATTAAATGTTAATAAAAGTTTTTTACGAGGGGGTGCAATAAAATTTTTCAGTCGGTCGACCCCCTTTTTTCAAGATCCTGATGTGGACAATTCTTGGGAGCGGCCTTTGTTGGGACCAGATCTGGTCCTTCCTACGGCATGCACTGTACGAAAGAACGGTAACTACTGATAAAAAAACTACGGAATATTTTGTAAAACAAGTACGGAAAATACTGTAGACTGTACGGTGGATACTGGTTTTTGAAGTACGGTAAAGTTTGGCAAAAAAATTATCCAGGATTTACCGTCATTTTTTCTCAGAGTGACGGGAAAAGCACCACGAGGAATCGCTTCGTGCTACGAAGAAAATAAAGGCATTGCAAAATCTACGAAGAAATGCTTCGTGTTATGAAGCAAAATCTTTTGCAATACGAAGCTTTCCCTTATAATAGAAAGAAATTCAACAATGCCTTCATTTTCGTCCTCGTTATGAAGCAGATGCGTAGCAGACTGTTTCGAGTGTGGGTTGCATTTCGTTTGTTTCCAGGATGAAGCTGCCTGATCTGATCAACGACCCCACCATCGTGGCGGTGGCGCAGAAGTACAAAAAGTCCCCCGGCCAGGTGCTGCTCAAGCACATCGTGCAGCGCGGCGTGTGCGCCATCCCCAAGAGTCTGTCCAAAGAACGCATAGAGCAGAACCTCGCCATGTTCGACTGGGAGCTCAGCAAGAAGGACGTGGCTGAGATCGACGCGCTGGACAAGGAGAGAGACGGTCGCATTCTCAATTTCCTATTTTTGGGGTAAGGCAAGCAGTTAGCGCCAGGTGCATCGCGCTTCAGGTGTTTTCGCTTTCTGCACCAAGAGGCAGGCCATGGAGCATTGTGCCAATGTGAAAAACATCTCAGAAGCTTCAGGATACAACTTAGTTTGCGAGTCCCGTGGCAACCTAGAGTAAACACTGCACTGAGAATAAAAGTCATAGTCAACGACTGAAATTTTGGGCGAGATTCATTTTATCAGCCAAATTCGGGTGAGGAAATCATCCTCGAAATCTGATTTAGGGATTCAAACCGCCAAGTCTGACAAAATTGGTCTGTATTTTCAGATTTTTTAAGTGTGAGATATGAACAGTAGGCGATACAAATAGAATGGCCGAAGAAATGCCATACACAAATGTACGACAGAAAAAAGATCAGATATATCAGCGAAACTCAAGGGGGTAAAGAGTAAAGACTGGCAAATTTCGTGTCAGCCGGATTACCTCCGGATTGCAACAAAAAGTTTCTTTGAATAACCTTCGGATAACGCAGGATTACCCCGGATTACCTCTACATTTTCCCGGATTACCTCCAAATTTCGGGTCATCCGGAATACCAATTTTGCTGTCAGCCGGATTACCGACGTCGTTACCCCCTTTGGTGAAACTGGATCTTGTTTAGCTTGGGAATATCCTTTCACAGTGACACAAAATAAGGTACGACCCGTTTTCGGTCATTTATTTCCGCATCACCTTTTTAAGGGTCAAAAGTGACACCTTTCTATTATCAGTGTGCTCAGAGTCCAGGGATTGCTGTTGACCAGACCAGACATGTTCCGTAACTTCTCTCTCCTTAAGGTGCTTAGGGGACCTCCATACATTACATTCTGGCTGAATACGAATCCGCTAGCTCTGTCTCCTTGAGTACACGATTCGGATGCAGCCTTAGCAAGAAGTCGATGGACGTACCAGAGAGACAGTTTTTCAAACTCATCCATGGGCATCCTCATGCCTTTGAAAGTGTGCACACTGAAAATTGAATGGCGAGACTGATGGCCAAAATTTGGCGAGACAAAAAAGTCTCGCCATTCTGTGACGAGAGAAGAAAGTCTCACCATTTTTTTGGCGAAAAACAAAAGTCTCGCCATTTTTTGGCGAGAAACAAATGTCTCGCCAAAATATGCCAATAGTTGACTGGGACATATTTCCCGGTATCCAATAGAGTGGGGTTGCAATTATTGCCATATTGTGGCGAGACATTTGTTTCTCGCCTAAAAATGGTGAGACTTTTGTTTCTCGCCTAAAAATGGTGAGACTTTTGTTTCTCGCCAAAAAAATGGTGAGACTTCTATTTTTTTGCCATAGAATGGCGAGACTTTGTTTCTTTCCCCTAAGGTGGAATGAATTCCGTCCTTTGACTTTTCAGTGCAAGGAAGTCACGTGGTGAAGCTTCTGTTTCCAGCACGGCAAAAACAACGTCCGGGTTTCCCAGGCGCACCCTGGAACAATGTCCTGTTTTTCCAGGGTGCGCCTGGAAAACCCGGACGTTATTTCTGCCGTGGGGCACACGCCTCTTTAAAAATGGCGCTACCTCTGTTACAGAATTCCAGAAGACCACCCCTCATATCCTTTCCGCGAGTACCCGTAGTCAGCCCTGCTCTCAAGTAATCATCAGCTGCGGCCGGCGGCAGATGTTTATTTTAGCATCAATAAAATTATTTGAACACTGTTACACCATGAAGTAAGACTGCTTTCTGTCCCGTTTGTGATGCATACGATAAGCCAACCATAGCTTTAAAGCAATCGTTTGGCATCAAAACCGTAGGGTTTGGTTGACCCGACTTTCAGCCTCTATCCCACCTGTGTGTTTGGGCTACTTTTTGCCTACCTTTCTGGCAATACTGCTAGGGGCACGGAGCAAAGAAAAAAAAACATTCCCCCACTACTTCCCCAACCTCTAGGTCTGAGCGTGAGAGCTTCCTGGAAGAAGGAAACATAACAAAATAATTGACCCCAAATGCGTTGCTTATGCTTCTGGCACTCGACCCTTCCCTCCTCACTGACGTTCCAAACGCAATGAGCACAGCACGTATAGTGCAATACATTAAATCATCGCACTATACTTGAAATGCCACCGCCGCATTGCGCCAAAATGCATCGGGCAAATTGGTGTAATGAAACCGGCTTCAAAGGCATTGCACCAATCGACGCAATACTCATAGCGTTTGGATTCTCAGTGCTTCTATCGACATGAGAATTTCCGCGTATAATTTTGCATAGTTGAATCGGATGAATTTGTATCCGCCGACAAATTAAGAGTCTCACCCCTCAATTGTGGGACTTCAAGCGCACTAAAAATAATGTGTTTATGCTGTGGGTTATATGCGGTACACATCTGGTGTTTACTATGGCGCAGGCAGCATCAATAGGAGTGTGCTGTCAAATGGGTGACATTATGTTGCATATAAAAGTATTACACTGTTATAGACGTGCTCTGCCCAAGTACACATCATAATGAACATGCTTGCAAGTACGCACCTATAGATGTGTACTTGCAAGTACACTCCACAGTTGTATGCTAAGCACACATTTGATTTTGTAGTGTATCTCTTGGCAGATGGGGCTAGACCGTTCGAGACGTAAAAAAATAGTTATGAAGATAAGTCTAGAATAATGATTTAATGGAAGATCCAACGTATAAAGTGTAATTGCACACTGACAACTCAGAGTATACAACTCAGTACTACAGAGCCCCTGGCACATTTAAAAAACAAAAAAGTAAAGATTTTAACTTTCCTCTTTAACTCTTACTAAACAAGAGATGGAGGTAGTTTGAGATTAGAACATCTCAGTGCTTATCATAAAACAAAACTGGAGTCAACAAAAACTAAATTACTGCACTAAGCAGCCGGCCGGGCCGTCGAAATCTTCATCCGATCCTTCTTCGAACGAATCTTCATACGAGTCAAGAAACTCTTCATCGGAAACTTCCTCTTCAAACGAGTCAAGAAACTCTTCATCGGAAGCTTCCTCTCCAAACGAGCCCTCTTCGATCGAAGTTTCATCATCAGAGCTAGAGCACACGAAGCAGTGGCAGGGGTCGCCGAGGTTGAACTCGCTGGCGAGAATTTCGTCGAAAACAGATTCCGGTCGTAGGCTCATCGGTGCGGCTCGGGGGCGTCTGTTCAAGGGGCAAGCCATGTTGCACCTGTCACACAAGATGGCCCCGCCGTCCCGCACGCAGTCCTGCAGGGACTCTCGCAGAGCGACACACGGCGCTTTGGAGTGGTGGTCAGTGCTGCGGGCAAGAGGCGAGAGCTTGTACACAGTAAAATCCCGACGAAGAATGACTTCGTAATACGAGGAAAACGAGGGCATTGTAAAACCTACGAAATGGTTCGTATCTTGAAGCAAAATCATTCATCATACGAAGCATTTCTTCATAATACGCAGCTACTATGCAATGCCTTCATTTTATTTGTGGTTATATAAAGCAAATGCTTCGCAGGTTTTGAAGAGTGTGCACTCAGAAGTATGACTACGCTATTTCTTTTAATTCCTTTTAAGTGTGATTTAGCTATTAATAAATTGTCTTATAAGAATAAATTGGAGATGACTTAAAATTTCCGAACAATGCGTCAGCATGAATGATGCACTCCATAATTAATGGCAAATGGAAGAAAACCCAGACGAGCAGCCCGCGACAGAACGGGAGGAACAAAAGAGCGTCGCGCGAACGATAGAGAATCTCCCGTTCTGTCGCTGACTTCCGGTCTAGGTTTCCTCCGAAGTACTCTTTTCACAACGAGCGAGACACAATGCCCAGAGGAGCGCGACGTTAGGTCACACTCGTTCCAACTTGATGTGATCACCGGTAAAACTGAAGCGTAGTTGTATGCTTGATTCAAGCATACAACTACGATTCAAGCATACAACTACGCTTGAAGACTTTACGCTTGACGTCAAGCGTAGAGAAGAAGTTCTCCCATGCATTTAGATAGGCGGGAGAGGGGCAAAATGGAGAACTATGCTTGAAGCCAAGCGTAGTTCTACTACGCTTGAAAAAAGGCGTAAAACTACGCTTGAGTTCTACCAGTGATGTCATTCTCCACGAATGAGTACGTCAAAAGTGTGCATTGAACTCACCATATGAATCCCACGAAGTCCAGCGGGGCTCTCGCCTTTAGCAGTTGCCGCAACTGGGCCTGGGCTGCAGCGGCCGGGTCGATGGTGACCAGGAGGCGGCGGAGCAGCGTACAGCGCTCCAGGGCTTGGGCAGGGAAGCAGCAGACGGCAACCTCCTCCAGGGTGGCCGCGTTGGCCTCCACGAAGGCCGTGCAGGCCTGGAGTTCCAGCTGCAACCCAGCGCGAGGGGCACTGTACTAATTAAATGCTCGGACGCAAGGCCCAGGCCTGACCAAAAGTCACGCCTAAAATCGGCATGGCATGCGAGTGGCGCCGTCTTCAACACCACAAATCCAAGAGGTCAAAATGCCAGACATCCCACCTCTCCAGCTTGAGGCGAAGCAAACAAGTCTTGCCAAGTTTTAGTCAGACCTGAAAGTCTCGCCGAAATTTGGTTTTAACCCAAAAGGGCGAGACTTTCTTGTCTCACCATGTGGTCCGAATTTTCAGCCTGATGCGGCCTGTACAGTAGTAGCATCATTTTATGGCGACACGGTAAAAACGGTTCCTGGTTTTCCCAGGAACTCAATGAAAATTGCCGATGCCTTAACCATGGAGTTCCTTGTAAAACCAAGAAACTTTTTCACCGTGAAGACTCTTTTGTCTCGCAAAATTGATCCAGGATGGGAATAATTCGACTTATATCCAAATTTAGTTCATATTAAATTATTGTGTCTTATTATGAGTAGCATCATTGCACCAGATTATTTGACTCAATTCCTAGCAGTTAAGGAGAAAATCCACTTTGAAAAAAGATGTAATTCAACTTGACCCCTTTTACACTCCCAATTTAGCGGAAAATGGAAACAACCGAACCAAAGTCAGCATATTGTTGATAGGAGATCACTTTTATGTCAACAGAAGTCAACTTAACCCTCTTTCATTTTAAGAACTTAAACGGAAAAAGGAGCTAAGTCAAAAAAATGCACCAGGGGTACTTACACTCTCTGCTGAATAAAGTTCCACTTCACTTGTCTCCAAATTCCACTGTGTTTAGAAAATATAACTTGAGATTTCCATTTTAACAGAAAGTGAAAAGTCACAGAAATCCTACACACAGTGACCTGACACTCTTGATGTTCATCTCAGAATTTGACTTATGCTCCCTGAACTTGTTACCATCTGCAACACTCCTTTAAGTTTTAACTTTCCCTGCTATGCTAACAGATTTTTGTTCCTCCTGAAAAATGGTCAAAATGGAGTTAACCCCTTCTTCCGCTTCCTGGATCAATTTTGGTTTGACTTTCAGGTCCCCCCAACACACACACACACCCTCTCTGCCAACTCACCCCGGGGTGGCATACGAGCCTTTGCAGAGTCCCAGTCGTCGCGGAGTAGCCTGAAATGGCCGGCTCCTCGTTCAGCCCATTGTACGGCAATTCGGACCACTGGTAGTTCAAGTCAGTAGTCACAAAACTGGTCAGCTTGGGCAGGGTCATGACCGCCCGCAAGACCTCCAACGTGGGACTGATGAGTGTCAGGCCCTCCAGGGACTCGCGCTGACGCTGCAGGTACTTCACCGTCCACTTGAGGCTTCCGTTCAGCACTGCCGATTTCACCTGGGGAAATTGCATACACACGCGCTACAAAAAGTCTTGCAAGCATTTGCTTTGGAACAATGGAGAAACACTGAGAATGAATTGGTCACCACCATCGCCCTTTTAATGGGTGATGCAACTTCGTTGCCCAAATTTTGGTGACGAAAAATTCATCACCCGAAATTTGGTAACAGGCGTTAGGTCGCCCAAATTTGGGTAACGCCGTCGGCGACGCCGTGAGGTTCGCGATGACGTCCATCCGGAGCCACCACGATGACCGGAGGCCTCAACGCCACATTGGGCCATCGTGGTGGCCCCGGAAGAGCGTCATCGGGGACCTAACGGCGTCGCCGACGACGTTACCCAAATTTGGGCGACGATTTTCTGACTGCCCAAAATTTGGTCACCGCGAGCTCGTCACCCAAACTTGGGCAACGATGCGTGCGTTACCCAATGAAAGGGCGATGGTGGTGACTCTTTCATTCTCAGTGAAATGAAGGAACGCCGTTACGTTTTAGCTTTCCAACATAGTATGGAGAACCTACACTTTACGACATTTGAATTGCACCCCTCCCGAGGAGGCGAGCTGAACACAGGCGCGGATACAGGGGGGGCAATAGGGTTTTTGCCCCCCCCCCCAAGGTAGGCAAAAGTGTTACTTTTCCCCTGTAAGTAGGCAAAAAGTGCTACTTTGCCGCCCCCCCAATAGGCCGCCTCTGGATCCGCCACTGGCTGTACACGCCACGGGGTGGCTGCAACGGGCGTACCTTGCAGATGGGCTGGGTGGTCATCGCCGCCCTGGCGGCAGGCTTCATGCTCTTCGGACAACTGACGAAAAGGAGGTTCGGGGCGAACCTCATAGTCCGTGCGAACACCTTCGCCCCTTCGTGTTTGTCCTTCTCCACTTTGCCGGTCGAGGGGGGCACGTCGTACGTCAAAGATCTCCCCATCCACACGGTGGGCTGGAATCAAACAAGACCCACACTCTAAATGTCTTACAATGAAATTTGACCTATGTTATTCGTATGTTACAGTGAATTCGGCGCAAGCATAATACGAAGCAATATTCCTTCGTAATACGAATCTTTCAGCTTTTCATTGTAAGATACAAAGAACAACCTTCGTAATACGAAGAAAAATCACCTTCGTATTATGCTTGCGCCATTTCCTTCGTAATATGGGAAATTTCTTCGTAAGACATTTAGAGTGCACGGTGTACCCAACTAACCCACTCTCATTCCTGGAACGTGACATCACGTTGAAATGAATGTGACAGAATGTCACGTTCCTTTGAGCGTTGTGTCACATTCGTTTGAATATGAATAAGCTGATTTTTGGCTGATTCACATCCAAACGAACGTGACACAACGCTCAAAGGAACGTGACATTCTGTCACATTCATTTCAACGTGATGTTACGTTCCGGGAATGAGAGTGCCACAAACGCAACAATACACGTTCTGGGGCCGTGAAAGACAACTGTAGTAAAAAAAGTTCCGCCAAGGCAAGCTTAGCAAAGCGGTCTTGCCGTGGCCCGGCAGGCGAGGCCGGGCAGAGAGGGGGCAAGGAGGGAGGGGGTGGCTGTGAGGAGTGGGGACTGACGCGGCGGCGCGGCGGCGCAGGACGACGACGGACGACGGAACCAACACGACCATGCAGTCCCCTCCGAGCGCGCTGAATAGATGGATGGATGGGATGGGATGAGTGGGATCGGATGCAGAGCTAGAAGCGGTAGCAAGACCGCTTAAAAATTTCAATGGTAAAATTAAAGCGTAACTGTACGCCTGAGTCACGCCAGAAGTGAGATTTGAAGCATTGGCAAGAATTATCCAACTGGGGAATATCTGAGCACACAGAAAACCATCCACGCAGCATGCTTCGTAATAAACGAAGAAACCGAAGGCTTCTTGCAAAGAACAAATGACCCCCCCCCCTCCCTCTTTTTAAGCGGTCTTGCTACCACTTCTAGCTCTGCATCCGATCCCACTCATCCCATCCCATCCATCCATTCAGCGCGCTCGGAGGGGACTGCATGGTCGTGTTGGTCGTCGTCGTCTGTCGTCGTCCTGCGCCGCCACGCCGCGCCGCGCCAGTCCTCACAGGCACCACCTCCCTGCTTGCCCCCTCTCTGCCCGGCCTCCCCTGCCGGTCCACGGCAAGACCGCTTTGCTAAGCTTGCCTTGGCGGAACTTTTTTTACAGTGATGACAATATGCTACGTTTTAAGATGCTTACGTTTTAAGATAGCAGTAGGGTCAGGGCGGGGAAGAACTGGACAGGGGAAGAACTGGACACCCCAAATTTTACTTCGAATACCGTAGGCACAGGAATAACAACTACCAAAAGTTGTTCCGTGGCATCAGCGGTTCATTACACGACAGTTGTCAGGCCAGTACATAAGGCATTTCAAGTAAAATGTGCGGTGTCCAGTTCTTCCCCTGTCCAGATTTTCCCCGCCCTGACCCTATATTTGAAAAGGATTATTTATAAATGATCAGTCTCCAATATACTAAAACTATATATAGTTGTCAAAATGACGAATAGCATTTTACTAATAGAATTGGGTCCCAAATTAAGATTTAATTTGCTTGTAATTGCAAAGAAATTCAAATGTAACTCCAATTTGTTAACTTTATAGAATAGGCTTTGCAAGGCACAAACTTGTTGTGCAAACATCATGTTTTCTTCGCAACTCTGAGCAGAACATTCTTTGCAAAGTTTTTGGAGTGCATCGAACCTGGACTGTGATGCATCCGTAACATGCACGATGCACCCTGTGTCTTTGACTTCACAGGTTTCAGATTTTCACTGCTCTAGGTCAGCAGGACGGCAACTGCATTGGTCTCGGAGAAACTTACCAGCTTAGCCGCTTCCCTCCAGCCAAAGCAGGACTGGCCAGCGGAGATGACATCCTCGTTGGAAAGCCAGGCGAATATGGTGGTGAGGAGAATTTGCGGCAGTCCATTCCAGTTAGAGGGGAGCTGGGTATTTTAACGGACGAGTTTGTGTTAGCATCATAGAATGTCATGAACTATCACAAACGCTGTTGTTGCCAAATTATCCCGAAATTATCCGCTTAATACAGAAGAGAACCAGATGGGAGGATTCGGGCAGTTCTTCCACTTTGGGACTGACGAACTTGCGAGAGTATTCTTTCTAATGGCGAAAAGCGTGTTAAGAGTGGCAAAAACAACAATTCACCCACATTTGAATAAACTTGGACACGAATTTTTAGGTCATGCCATCACTCCACAACCCGAACTACACACACTCTCAGCACGTTACTGACTTTTTCCTCATCAATTACGTATCCGTAGGGTCAGGGCGGGGAAAATCTGGACAGGGGAAGAACTGGACACCCCACATTTTACTTGAAATGCCTTATGTACTGGCCTGACAACTGTCGTGTAATGAACCGCTGATGCCACGGAACAACTTTTGGTAGTTGTTATTCCTGTGCCTACGGTATTCGAAGTAAAATTTGGGGTGTCCAGTTCTTCCCCTGTCCAGTTCTTCCCCGCCCTGACCCTATAAACATCAATAATGCTTCATATATTCGAAGTAAGTATGACTAATTTCCTCTACAAAACAAAATTCTCAGTACATTATTTAAAATTTCCTGAGTAGTTCGCTACAAACAGGAAAAGTACGTGTTATGGTTGCACAAATTACTTGCTCAAGTACTGACAAAATGAGCAAAAAGTCAATAACGTGCTGAGAGTGCAGCAACAAGGTTCCGAAGCATGTCGCTTCGTTAGACGAAGAAAACCAAGGCAATGTAAAATCTGCCACTAGCAAATGTCGACCAGTCATGTCCTTTGCCTCCCAGTGTCGACCACACTGTGTCTTATTCCACTCAATAAACCTAAAATAATACTAAGTACACAGTGGATTTTGTAGTGTACTCGTCCTAATCGTGGATAAGCAAAAGCATGTAGGTCTGTAGCGTAAAGGACTATTCTCATGCGTCCCCCCCGTTACCTCAGCCAGCTCCGTGCAGGCGCTCGTGGAGGCCTCGGCGTTGTCGACGGCAGCGGCATTGCTTCGGCCACGCCTCGACGCTTTGGGCTTGGGGGCGCGGGGCTGTGTCTCGGGTCCGTCTGATGTGGACTGCTTCGGCGCAGTGCGACGTGCTCGCTTCGGCTTCGGTCCGCTCGGGCTGTCGCCCATGACCGCAGCGTCCTGAGATCGCTCAACACCTGCGAAAACAAGAGAACCGAATGAGCACTTACATTCATCATTATCTGGACAGACTTTGATCTGCGAACAGGCTTAAACCTTACGAAATACTTTGAGGTACAAACTTGAATTACGTAGGAATAGTTCGTAAACTACTAATTATTTTCTTTAAAAGCTTATGCTCAAAATGATTTTTAATATGGAGCTTCTTTTCTTCTCAAGGCTCAAATGGTTTGTAATATTGTTTGAGTGTTTTCAATTACGTTACGCAGTTTCGACACTCCACGAGTCCCTACTTCCTACATGTAACTCAGCGTTACGCCGGCCCATACTCCCTACACCTCCCCCCTCACTCATTTTCCTCTCCCCCCCACCCTATCTCCTTTTCCCTCCCCCCCACCCTAACTCCTTTTCCCCTCCCCCCTTACTCCCTTTCCCCTCCCCTCCCCCCCACCCCCACTCCTTTTCCCCTCCCCTCCCCCCCCCACCCCCACTCCTTTTCCCCCTCCCCCCACCCCACTCCTTTTCCCCTCCCTCACACCTCAGGAACGGTTAGGGGACCACAAATCGGCGCGGCGCAGGTCCCCTTCCGAGCGCGCCCGAAGTCCCCCTCGCCGAGCGCGGCCCGAAGGCAAGCCCGAAGGTCCACGTGGGTATTACGAGGATGGGGATAACCCCGGACCCTCGGGGGGCTTAGTCACTCAAGTAGAGTTGTCGAGCGCCTCCTCAGAAGATGTCTCCGTGGCTCCGGGGTACCACCTCTGCCTACGGCCTCTAGTATTAGTGGTTCACATACTGGCCAGTTTTTAATTTTTCGGTTTCACCCATCCTTTTTAGTTATGTTCAAATTTTAGGTTGGACAATATGTTTTAAGAATATTAAGGTTTGGTTTATATATGGTACGTTAGGTTACGTGAAGTTGGTCAGGTCGCAAGTGACCGAAACTTGTCGCGACTATAGCATGAAATATTTTGAGAATAGAGTAGGCTAAGATCTGTTGACATTAGAAATAGATCTGCCGCGATGAGAATAAGATCTGTAGCGAGCCCGTTTGGTTTTGATTAGGATAGGTTGGACAAATTATTTTAAAAATATTAAGGTAGCCGTCTGTCCACACCAACATACTACAATTTCCTTCTGACGAACATGCATTTCCATCTGCAGCAGAATCTAGCTCTGCATCGAAGCCGAAGACCTTCCCCTGGCTAATAGATGTTAAAACTATTAGCATTTAGGGTATTTCGATGATTATGGCTCCTTCGTGCCCCAGGTTGCCGTGCTCGGCACGGCACAAAGTCCCCTTCGGCTCCGGCCGCTCGGCACTCTTCGGCACCGCTCGGCTCGGCCGCCAGGGCGGCGGCGATTTGTGGTCCCGTATCAAGACGTCACACCTCCACTCCTTTTCCCCTCCCTCAAACGCTAACGCTAGGTGATGCTTACTTTCTTTTTTAAAGGAGACTTTAATTCGTCGCTTATTCTTTTGAAACGTGCTCTCACACCTAATGTATTTTGCGCAACGTTTCGCTACTCTGTGAGCCTTCCCCTCACCCCCTCACCTAGCGTTACGCAAGTTCGAAGTTCGAGTTATTGATCTTCCCATCCCGTGTCAGATTAAACCTAGGCATCTGTCACTCCCGGAGTTTCATCCCCTCTCAAGAGTGATTTCAAAATTCTTCAACATTAAGGTACGGTTTCCTTTTACTTGGTCACCCCTGTGAAGCATGATTCGATCCACTGTTGAACGAAGTGTAGAGCGCCGACAACCTATCTACCTTCACTGATCGAAGCATCCATGACTCTACTGGCTCGCAGACAAAGGAGGTGTCAGGGACGGCCAGCCACCACACGCTGAAAACCTTTCGAACTAATTGAGCCCTACGAAGTGCAGTGGCTTCATAAAACAAGGTAGTTATAGCATATGCAAGCTTTCATTGAAAATAGCTCGTAACCCACGAACTATTTCTCCGCATCTCAAAGAAAATTAAGTTGCACAACGCATGCTCGAAACACTTCGTAACGGTTCAAGTATGCTCATACACGAACCGTTGAAAGGGTCAGGCAATTTGATGCTAAAACAGCAAACTAAAGTGCGGCTAGAATAGCATCCGCGCTAGGCGTTGACAGGTACGATCTATTGTAATATATGTCTCAGGGATTAGTCTGTTAACATGTCGTTCCGACGCTTTTTGAGTCGGTACCCACAAAGTAAAAATCTATGAAGAATCGCTTCGTAATACGAAGAAAATGAAGGCATGTGAATAAATGCTTCCTATTTTGAAGCAAAATCCCTCGTAATACGAAGCATTTCTCCATATTACGAAGCAATTCTTCAATGCCTTCAATTTCTTTGTAGTTATGAAGCAAATGATTCATAGGCTATCAGGAGTGCAAGCTGAAAAAAATTAATGGAACCAGTGTGAGATATCAATGGTGCAGCAGGTGGCTTGGTACAGCTTAGCTAGGTACAGTTTACCTTGGTACATTTGTAGGCCCCCACTTAGCTGATTTCTGATACTGGATCCAGATATTTTAGAGTTGCAATTGTATTTCATATGCAGCCATCCGTGCCCTGTGGCCCTGTTCCACGGCAGTGTTCGTAATCACAGTAAACCGTGCACCGTGAATTGTTAACTTCTACATGTTTTCTGTCGCGTTCGCCTGCCGGTGACGTTAGGATGTTGCGCTCTGTTCGCGCTCCGTCGCCTTCGGATGCGTCTGCTCACACTCCTCAAACCTAACTGTCTGCTCACTCAGTACACACAAATGCATGCTTGCAAATCACACTTGCAAACGCATGCTTGGAACCGCGTAACTCCGTGCTAAGCGCAGGCATTTGTAAGTGTGTACGGAACTTAGTATGCATTTGTACTTAAATGTGTACTTGGCCAAGTACGCATATGTAAGTGTGTAGTTAGTAAGGTTATGAGGTATGTAGTGTGAACGTGTTCTTTTGCCACAGGCTTCCACCTTTCACGGTCACTCTCTAGTGTCGCAGTCACCATGCCCGGGACAGGCAAGAGAGCGCACGCCGCGGACAGCAGCGAAGCAGGGAACGAACAAGCCCCCGCCAGCAAGCAACAGAGGACCGACTCGTAAGTACTTGCTCTGCTCGCACTGGTACACAAGTCGAGTTGACACTTCCACCAGAACGCCGAGTGAAGAACAAGAGGAAGAAAACGCACTCCCCGGAACCAGTTCTCAAAATCTTCTTATTTGGAGGTTTTGACAGTTTGAAATTATGAAACTCATCTTTGGTAAATTTTAAGCCAATTTTAGAACCCAAATGAACCCATAGCATTAACAAATCAGTGACTTCTATGGACTTTCCCTTTCCGGCTTTACTTTTTCTTCTATTTCTTCACCGAGTGAATGGCCAGAAGTAAAGGTTTCACATCCAGGCGGTCTTTCTGTCGCAGGGCGATTTTCTGGTAAAGTTTTAACAACACTTAACGTGTGACTTTTCTCAGAATCAAACAAATAGTTGGGGTTTAATCTCGTGCTGTAAAGTTTCGTTCGTAGAGCTGTCGTTTGTTGAAGCACAAACAAAATTTTAAATTTGGATTTCCCTTAATCTTAAACAACCCACCTTTATTTAGATCATAACGCAGAATGCACTGCATCGAGTGTGCACTAAAAGTGGAACTAGACTAGATTGTGACAAGCTTAGTTTTCCTCTATTTTTTAATATTGCTGCCTGAAGAATGGGATTATTGCTACTGCATGAGCCTCAATCCAGTGTCTAAAATATTTTCATGCTGCTGTCTGCCACCTCAGGTTAGTTTTCCTGGCGGGGTGGTGTTTGAAAGGTTTAATCGATTCTCTCAACCGTTTCCTTTGAAGAATTCACTAAGTTTCCAGCTGTCAGCTCCTGTGAAGCAACCTTAAAGAATCTCAGTAAAAAAAATAGAAATATTGTCAACGTTGGTCTTATTTTCTTTTGGAAGACACAACCAGTAAAATCAGACAACTTATCTGCAATTTGCGTTCTATAATGAAGTTCAGCCCGTCTTAACCTTTTGCTTCCATAAGTATATACTGTAATATTCCCAGATGCTGTAATCTCGAAACTTTTTGATTGGTCATGAAATTTGAGTGGAATACACCCTAGAGACCCTACGAAGTAATTGCTTCATAACTACGATGAAAAGGAAGACATTGTAGAATTGCTTCGTATTACGAAACGATTGCAGCCTTATTGCACCTTACGTGCAATGCGTCCCGAAAATGCCCTATGCTAGCATCGCAATGGGAAGGCATTGCACTTCATGTGCAATGCTCTTGCATTGCACCAATTGACGGTACATTCATAGCGTTTGAATTCTCAGTGACGGGCCTGTTACGCCGAGAAATCCAATCCTAATAGAAAGAAGCTTAAAACCATCCGCCGGCCGTAGTCTTTCGGCGTAGCGCAAGGGCTTGTCATATCGTAAGGATACACGGTAAAAACGTTACCTGGTTTTCCAGGAAGCCTATGGTAGGGGCATGGGCGCTTTCCAGGGAGTTCCTGGGAAAACAAAGAACCGCTTTCACCGTGCACTGTCAATGCTCCCGCGATGGATTTTTCGTTTTTGCTTTTAAAAAAATCGTGTATTAGCGTAAGGAAACTCGTAACTAGGGGTACGCGCCGTTTTGTGTGGGCGCGTAGTGTGGCTGAGCGATGCGAATTTGTGCACTTCGGACTGCAGCTTGTGGGCTCATATTGAGTGAAATGTAGGTCTGGGGTATAAATGGGAGTGATTTTTGTTATCAGCACACAAAAAACTGTTGGGATCAACGTCAAACTCGATTCCAAAATTTTGGTCCAAAATTGGTCAAAATTCGGTAATGCGTGAGTCTGAGAAAAATTTGGAAGTCATTTTTGAGCTCAGCGCATCAAAAACTGCAGGAAACAATAAAAAAACTTGATTTGAAAATTTTGGTCCAAAATGACCGAATTTGGGATAAAAATATAAGTCTGGAGTCGAAATGGAGGAGATTTTCGTCATCAGCACACAAAAAACTGTTGGGATCAACATCAAACTCAATTCAAAAATTTTGGTCCAAATTTGGTCAAAATTGGGTAAGGCGTGAGTCTGGGAAAAATTTGGAAGTTATTTTTGAGTTCAGCTCATCAAACACTGCAGGAAACAATATAAAACTCGACCTGAAAATTTTGGTCCCAAATGACCTAATTTGAGATGAAAATATAAGTCTGGAGTAGAGATGGAAGTGGTTTTCATAATCAGCACTCCCAAAACTCCAAGAATCAATATGAGATTCGATTGAAAAATATTGATATCAAATTGATCAATAATGGGTAAAGAATGGGTCTGGGTTGGTCTTCATGGATCACCCTTTGTCGTCACCAATACTCAAATGCCACACCAATGCGATTCCTTCAGTCGAGTAACATTCCATTGCCAGCATTGAATCGCTTAATTAGCTACTCGTCTGCTTGACTCACTATTCGATACATCTTTTTCTTCAAACTAATGAATTCACAAATTTACAAGGTAGGTTTACGCCAGACCGCGTCTTGTCGTAACAGGCTTCGCGATGTCTCGCTGCCTGTTCCTCCAATCCACGCCTGGCGTACCTACCTTGGCCTGCGGCGCTAGCCTGCCTCCGGCAGGCAATGGCTTGTCCATTGTCGGTTATTTTTTAACTTGTTGAATGCTGGGGGGCTCCGCCCCCCAGACCCCCCTACATTCTGAATAGAGTTGTCTTATCTGCAGATAACACGACCTTGACCCTTGTCACTTTTTAACTTGTCGAGGCTGGGGGGCTCCGCCCCCCAGACCCCCCTTTCTCCAAGCCAGAAGTGATCTATCTGCAGAAAACTCTATTTTTCGCCGTTTTTTAGGTGTTTTTCGGCTATAAAAACTGAACCAGTTGAGCTAGGATGGTGAAATTTCGCGTGTGCCGAGCCAAGGACATACCCAAAAAGTGTGCAAAATCTCACCGAGATCGGCCGAGCCGTTCAGGAGGAGTAGTGCGGACACACACGCACGCACGCACGCACGCACGCACACACGCAGACAGGAAAAACTTTTCAACCCCACCTGAGTAACGGGCTTCGCTATCGCTCAGCCAATTAGTTATATTTGAGAAGCCTTTTGTCATTCTTTCATTTAAAACCAGTGAATTAAACAATATAGACTGGAATATGTAATCATAGTTTTTATTAAGTTACTCAGTTTAGGGCAGGCTGATCTGAAGCATTCGACGGAGAACAAGTTTTGTCAAATTCAGTGAATCGTCTCATGAAGTCAAATGCAGAGGCCACTTGTTGCTTAATACGCCAACTTAATTTACCTTATTCATGCCTCGTGATATTTTATCTTTAGAGTAAAAGAATACAGTATAGTCTTAACATTGGGCTTACATTCAGAAAGCCAGCTTTTAAATCATTATCAATACTTGGTTCCAGTTGTCGGACACAAGCTTTGGTGAAGTGAAAGGAATCGTCCCATTAAAAGCAATTACCAAGTCACCCACCGCTCAAAACCTGAATCGTCTGATTGAACCCAATATCAGTTCAAAATCTGTTAGCACTAAATATATGGATTATTTATTGCACAAAATACATCTATTTATGGATTCTTTTAATCAATAGATGTAAGTACTAGAATATTGATGTTAGCTTGCAGCATTGCAATAGAGTGTCATTTCCCCGAGACAAACCAAGACAATTAACATGTCTTCTAATTTCAACAGAAGTTATTCATGCATTTACCTGATTTGATTTACTATGAAATTTAAAAATTAGGATAGTATCAGAGAGAATAAAATCAGTAGATGCACACAAAGGCAAAGAAAACATTGTATTTACAATCCACAACTACACTCAATGCACTGACCTGTTCCCCTGTGACGGGGGAAGAGGGGAACGAAACACGTAAACCATTCTCACATTTAGTTTCCGTATTTTCCTCTGTTGACACCCCGGAAGGGTTTCAATCATTCTAGAATGTTAAAAAACTATCTCAGTACCTATTTGAGAACCCCTTTGCTCTTTAGTTTGTTTATTTGCATAAGTGCCGTCCCGTCTTGCAGACGGCTTGCAAGCGCGGCAGCCAGGGTTGCCAGACCCCTAGTGCACCGTCCCGCCACCAGAGCACGCTCAACCCGCCGCTTCCCGCCACCTTTCAAAATAGCCTAAAACCGCCTAACGAAAGCACCATCCCGCCTAAATTCGCGGGAAAAGTATTCAAAGATCAGATTTCAATGTTTTTAGTCTTTATTTCTCCTTGACAATTGAAAACAATGAACCAGGCCCTAACCCCCTTCAAACCCTAGAAATAATAGGGTGCGATCATACTGCCTCGGTGGCGAGGTGTGGGTACTCTCGACTCGGACTCGAAACAAGCCGAAACAACCAAAAAAGGCCATTTTGACCACTTGGAATCAAAACCGCCCAAATTTATTTCATTTATAGCCTAATTTGCGGTTTTCCGTAAATCGGAATTTCGACCCGCCGACTGAGACCAAAAAATAGCCTAAGTGGCGGTTTCTAGCCTAATCTGGCAACCCTGGCGGCAGCCGGTATGAGAAATTGGTAAGCGACACGCTGCTACCAACCTAAACACGCTAATTACCTAGTTCAAAATGATGTTTTGAATATTTCAAACGATGATAATTGTTAATCTGAGATAAACTCCCCCTGTAGGATGTTTAGGTGACATCAGGTGTGAAATTTGGATACTATTCGTTCAGTAGTTGCTGAGAAACGTGAGTGATTACATACAGAGAGACAGACAGACAGACGCACGACCAGTCACTTTTCGGAGCGCCCAAACACGGCAAGGGCTTCGCTATCGCTCAGCCAATAACGCAACCCGCCTTAATACAATCTGTTTTCGAACTATGCGCAGGGCGAACTGGTGTGTCGACTGCTGGGCACCTCCGAAGGACGCGTGCCGCGGGGACCACAGTCTGCTGGACAGGACTGCAGCCGAAAGGGACCTGCAGGAGCAGTTGACGGCCGTCCGCACGGAGCTTACGAAGCTGCAGGCACGATTGGACGCGCTGGGCAAAGCTCGTCTGCTCGACGGCCCCGTCTTGCTGGCAAGCATAGATGAAAGCGACGGCTCGTTTGATGGCTGGATCGTCCAAGGGGGAGACATTCGCATTGCTCTAGCCTCCAACTTGTGTCTCACTGGCGAAGACAAGGAGAAGATCCTCGAGGCGCTAGGGGGTGTGGGTGTAGAGTATGATGTGGATGGGAATCAGTCTGTCATGGCCCACTGCGAAGTGGACGACCTGGATGGCCTCCTGGACAAGTTCCCCGACTTAGTGGTAGGCCAGGAGGTGCGGGACGGGGACGTGCTGCTTAATGCTAAGCGGCTGAGGCTGGAGGTTTACTTCAAGGGTACGGAGGTCAAGGAATCTGGTTCGAAGCAATTCGGTGCCGTGAAGGATGGTCTCAAGGCTCTGCAGGCCGAGGGCTGCCCTTCTGACGGCTCGTACGCAAGTGTCAAGGATGAATGCTGCAGCGGAGGTGAAGAAAACTGCTTCTGTATGACTCGTCGTCCTGGGTCCAGTTATCTGTATGCCGTGAAGTTTGAGAACAAGGACGAGGACAAGAATGAAGACCAGCCCTCTGGTCTCAGCCGGGAGTAGTGTTTCCTCGTGGTTTTGTTTTGTACGTGCTCGGTCATCAATTTGTTTTCCACATGACAGGAGGATCCTCGATAAAGTTGTTTCATTCTTTCAAGAAAATGGGAGTTTATGCGCAGATGTGAATGTCTTCTCTTAATTTTGATCATATTCCAAAAATTAAATTCATATAAAAAATTTAGTAGTTGTGTTTTACTTGATAGACTTAAAATAAGTTTAAACTGACCAATTTACGATTTGTTTACTCATTACAAAACTTACATGAAACGCTTCAAAAGATGGAAATGGAGAGAAAAGTTTTAGGCCACTTGGCCACTTAAACCACTTTCAACCACAGGCTTTTAGCCTGGTTTGCTGAACCCACGAGGGAGGTTGTTATTTATGGGTGAACAACCAAACGAACATGAAAAGTGTGTTCATAATATAAATCAAGTAAACATTACGGTGTAATTCATCTTTATTCGATTCTTGTACTATTTGTTGCTTTGAGAAAGTACCTTGAAAATCATAAACGTAAGCAAAGAGCAATGGAAATCTAACGATCTAGCAAGATTAATGTGAAGTCGTGAAGTTAGCTCACCCTGGATACCTCATGACAGTGGCTATTTTGAAAGTCGCTCATGACTCACCTCACATCGGAAATTAACCCGCATGCCGCCGGTGCATCGCTTAAAAATAATTCGTAACAGGATTGGTTCATTTATTCCGACCGTGGCTGGATTGTGATCACAAGAAATAATCAAAGTGCACTCCACTCTTTAAAGCCTACGAAGCGTGCTTCGTATTAGGAGGAATTTTGCTTCATAATACGAAGCATTCCTTTACAGACTTTACAATGCCTTCATTTTCTTCGTGAAGCGATTCTTTGAAGAGTTTTTACTGTGGATTTCAACTCCCACCGCCAAACTTATTAAAATTTTATCTTCGAGGGCTGGCAGCCTAGAAGCATTCTGGCTCCCAGTCGCGGCGGTCACACGATGCGCACTCCACTGTGCAGCCCGGCAGCACGCGGCGCGCCGCCTCGGCCTGGGCGGGGCAGTCCCTGCACCCGCGCGGACACTCCCTGTTGAGCACGAGCCGCGACAGGCGGAGGCCGCACTGCTCTAGGAAGGCGTCCAGGTCGCGGCACCCGGGCCACTCCGGCCTGTACTGGAAAGGCCCGTCGTCATCCACGCCGGTCACGCCCGTGCCCACGCCGACCAACAGCCACAGCTCGTCCAGGGACGCGGCGTGCGCTCGCAGCAGGGACTGAGTGGAGGCGCGGGACAGGCCGTGCACGTTGAGCCACTGCAGGCTGCTGGGCTGGGCAAGCGCGGGCAGCTGCACGTCCAGAGCGCGCAGAATGTCCAAAGACTCCACTTTGAGCCGCCGCAGTCGCGGCATGGCGTGCACCACGGCCAGGTGCTCCTCCAGGGGGTCCATCACCTGCAGCTCCTCCACTGTCGCGGCGGCGCTGCGCAGCAGTTCCAGGGACCAGGCAGGGTCGCGGCTGCAGTCCAGGCCAGTGATTCGTCGCACCTGCAGACAGCATGGCACAGCTTGAGAAGGCAGCCCTGTTTCGTCGCGTTGCAAAGAAATCGTTCCAAAGTTGCGAAGAAAAAAGTTCGCAACGTTGCGAAGCATTTTCTTCGCAATGCAGAGAAAATAGTTTGTAAGACAAGTTTTGCAATACAATGCCGTAGCATTTATTTGAGTATCAACACTTCTCGGTCCACCAGCATGCCTCACCTCCACTTTCAGTGAAAATTTTGCAAAATTATAAAACAAACAGGGACTGTTACAATGAACTCATTTCGAAAGCAACACAATATTTGTTGCGTGCATATGACATCATGAAATGATATCGCATGAAGTGCAGTAAATATTGTATTGCATTTATGCATGTTATCGTATTATCACACCAAAACACTTTCATTCGAGGAACGTGACATCACGTTGAAAAGAACGTGACAAACTGTCATATACGTTTAGGCATTGTGTCACATTCGTTTGAATGTGAACAGGCTACTTTTTGGCCGATTCACACCCAAACGAATGTGACACAATGCTCAAAACGAACGTGGCATTTTGTCACGTTCGTTTCAACGTGATGTCACGTTCCTGGGATGAGGAATTACATTATTTTTGGGCAAAACCGGCCGAAACGAAGAAATTTTAATCAAGATGATTTTTATTGCAGTCTCCGCCGATGAGAAAATTCGAAGGCAAGACATGTCTGAGCCTTCCTACCGCGCATATTGTAAACTCATCATATTCGAACATCAGTGGTGAGGGTAAAGTTGGCAACTGGCACTCACCCCTCGGCGGCGTACTCGTCGCAGGGCCAAGGCCAGGTCCGGTAGATCGGCATAGGGGGCAAGTGCAGCGTAGCTCGGACTTCTCCGCAACGCCCCACTGCCGCCCAGGTCCAGTTCGTCGATGCGCTCGTCGAACTCCTGTTCAGGCTGAGGCTCCCTCTGCTCGTGCGTGGGTTCCTGGGTGAAAAGAAAATCTCGATCAGCGCTGAAGGAGCACAAAATACATTCGACACGAAACTTTAAAGGAAAACAATGCTTTGGTGGCCTTCTTAAGTGAATTTTGGGAGGTAGTGACTTCTCACACAGGATGTGCAGTCTTCATGAAGCAAACCACTTGACCCACCGCTACAAGGTAGGCGTACGCCAGACCGTGTCTTGTCGTAACACGCTTCGCGGTGCTGCGCCAGTTTCGACAATCCACGCCTGGCGTGTACACCTACCTTGGCCTGCGGCGCTAGCCTGCCGGGCAGGCTGCTTTCCTGGTCAAACCGTAGAAATAAGCGTGATCCCCACAAAAATTAGAATTTGGTGATCAAAATCTTAACTAATGGGACTTAACTTAAGGTCGGGGGTCAGAATGGATTCTATTTTCGTCATCAGCATCCTCCAAAACATAGGAAACTATATGGAACATGTCAAAAGGTTGAAAGTACCAAAAAAGTTGTCTTTTTTCTGCCGTTCTTAGCAGATGATACCTTCACACTTGAAACATACCTAAAACTACTATTCACAAATGAAGGTGTCAGCGTGCTTTTACTCTCGAGTCCAGAAACCAAGCGCGTATCCTAACAATATAATAGGGGCTGGCGGCCGGGGCGGGCTGGTGTGGCTGGCTGGCGGTGAGGCGCAGCCTGCGCGGAATTCGACAATCCCTCCCCGGTACAGCGCCAGCGGCACCGGGCGTAAACAATGGCACCCCCTCCTCGCATTGACAATCCCTCCCCGCCTGCCACGGCGTGGAATATCGTGCAACAATGCCTCCCGATTCGGCCCGGCCTGGGTGGGCCTGGGGCGCTCGGGCTCGGCGGCAGCGGGCGGTGCAAGCCACAGCTCGGCACGGCCAGTACCAAAGTACCTAACACCGGCCAGCTCGTTTAGGTCTATGTATTTTGTTTCATTCAAAATTTAAAATAGTATCTTTGGGATGAGCCCGCATACTACCCCGTATAAGAAAACCAAACGAGTATCATCTGCTTCCATTAACGCTCGTTGAACGAGTTTTTTGAAAAACAATTTCCCTTCAGGTTTCATGAAACAGTGATATTGTTTTCTTTTATGCCAACAGCTCTTCAGCACCAGTGAAATTTGCGGGAGGCGCATGAGGGACCTACGACCATTCATTCCTGCGCCACCTTCGTACTCATGGTAAGTCCCCCCCCCCCTTTTCTCTCTCTCTCTTCTCCCATAGACAACCAAATCGCAATTCCGCTTGCGCGGTTGTGAAGGGGATACTCATTTGAGTCGGCAGACAACAAATTTCACGTTTCCGATCACACTGTTAAAAATTCCGTACTTTTGTACGGAAATGGCTGGTACAGAAAAATATAGTCTATAATATAGTACGGAGGTACGGAGAAAAGTACGGAACGTTCCGTACTTGCTCCATATGAACCCATGTAAATGGGTACGGAAAAAAAGTACGGCAGTACGGCACGTTCCGTAGTTGGCAAGTACGGACGGTCCAGGCAAATTATTGACCAGACATGTTCCGTACTTTTTCCGTACTTTTTTCTCACAGTGCACTTAAAGTCAAAAATTTATTTTTGCAGATCCCAATTACATCAGACAACCAAGAGGTCCAGGGCGGCGCGTGGACGGAGAAGGAGGCGCTGCAGCCGCTAAGTGCGTTACTGCCGCTGAGAGACGAGCGCGGTACCTCGTAAGGGCGGAGCGCCGGGCGACGCAGCAGGGCGCGGCCTCCGAGACGGAAGCGGGGCTCCTCCGCAAGGAACTGGCCCAGGCCGAAGGCCGATTGGCCCAGGCCCGAGGCCAATTGGCCCGGGTCCGAGGCCAATTGGCCCAGGCCAAAGGCCAATTGGCCGAGGTGCTGGTTCTGCGGATGGAGCTCCAAACCGCTCGGGCGGCCCTGGCTCGCGTCGAGGAGGCCGTTCATCAGATGACAGTGAGTAATACTCGCCCTCGTGTATTCCCGACAAAAATTAACTGAGCACTTTTAGTCATCGTAATATTTTCAAAGTCTTTCGAGCTAGGAGATTGAAATTTTGTAAGGAAAAGAAAACCAAACGAGTATCATCTGCTTTCATTAACGTTCGTTGAATGAGATTTTTTAAGTGTTTTTTGGCTAATATGACCGAATGGATTGAGGTAGAAAGCTGAATTTTGGTGTGTGGCGAGCCAAGGACATACCTTATGACCCTCCAAATTCTCAGCCAGATCGGCCAAGCCGTTCAGGAGGAGTAGTGCACACAGACGCACACACACACATACACACAGACAAAAAGTTTTTTAACCCCAATGGAGTAACGGGCTCCGCTACCGCTCAGCCAACAAATCAGTACAATTTCTTATTCAATTCATTTTAACTCTGAGGCCTTACATTTGGGTTAGGTTAGGTCAGGTTGACCATTTAAAAAAATTAAACTCAAAAATTTATATTTTTAAGATTTGGTGGTTTGGGTAAAGGAAAGGTGGGGTACCATGTGACGGTTTTTGTTAAATGCCCGTCAACCCAATAATACCAACATCCATAAGTAGACATGTGAACAAATTGATCCTTCGCCATATAATTTCTGTTGAGATTTCTAATTTATCTGTTTTGGTTGCTGAGTTATCCCGAGTTGAATGGGCCAAGTCAAAGTGTCACTTCGTACCCCACGTAGTACACTATGTGACAGCCTTAGTGTACCATGTGACAGTGGCCTTTTGTCTGGGTTTAAATCCTATTCAGCGTACCTATACGCAAAGAATAACGAAGAAGTCTTCCAGCTTTTTATTTCCGTTCAGTTTATCAATTTATTATCTTTGGTTCCCGAGCAATAAAGGTTTTAGTTACTGGTGAACACATTCAACTGAGTGAATCGTGGAATCCCATAGCGAATGACAGTGGTGTCACATGGTGCCCAGATCAACAGTTTTAGGGGAAACAGCGATAACGCTCAAAGTTTATGCCGTAGAGAATCGAGCCAGGGCTTATTTTGCGCTTAAAACATCAAAGAAGAACAACTTGCAGAGCATATGTCCTTACAAGGTAGGTTTATGCCAGACCGCGTCTTGTCGTAACAGGCTTCGCGATGTCTCGCTGCCTGTTCCTCCAATCCGCGCCTGGCGTACCTACCTTGGCCTGCGGCGCTAGCCTGCCTTCGGCAGGCAATGGCTTATCCATTGTCGGTTACTCCCAGCTTGTTGCATGCTGGGGGGCTGGGGGGCCCCGCCCCCCAGACCCCCCTTCATCCTAGATAGAGTTGCTTCTTCTACATATAACCCAATCTTGACCCTCCTTACTTTTTAACTTGTCGAGGCTGGGGGGCGGAGCCCCCCAGACTCCCCTTTCTTCGACACAGAAGTGATCTGCCTGCAGAAAACTAGAATTTTCGCCGTTTTTTAGGTGTTTTTCGGCTATAAAAACTGAACCAATTGAGCTAGGGTAATGAAATTTTGCGTGTGTCGAGCCAAGGACATACCCTAAAAGTGTGCGAAATCTCACCGAGATCAGCCGAGCCGTTCAGGAGGAGTAGTGCACACAGACACACAGACCGACAGACAGACAGACAGACATGAAAAACTTTTCCACCCCACTGGAGTAACAGGCTTCGCTATCGCTCAGCCAAAAATGTATTTTAAAGGTAAAAAGCGGACGCGCCGGGAAATAGAAAAAGTTTCCAATGAGCTAATTTAAGACGGTTTCCAATTCTGATCGCTACCATTCCCGTCCTTTTCGAAGGAGAGTCACGACCTATTGCACGTCGATTCTCCTTCATGATACCTTCCCTTGAGTCTTCTTACCGCTGTTGGATAGCAAGCCTTTTGGGAGAAAAAGCCAAAGTCACATGGTGGCCGTGTCACATGGTACCCCACCTTCCCTTTTTCACATTAATATTATGTTACTTATAATACACCGTTGCACTGGTAGCATGATCCTGGATGGCATGGAACAGTCACTTTTCCATTTTATTTGCCTAAAGTTTCTTCGACAAGAATTGAGACCAGACCTAAAAAATCTGGAACGCTTCACTTCAACCACCTCCATAGTCCGAACAAAAAAAAACGAAAAATTAAAACGGTTAAATTAAAAACATAAAAACTCAACTATTAACTTTTGTTAGAACAAAAAATTTTCTTTTCTTTATTTGGCTGTATTAAGTTTCTGGAATATATTTCTGGTTTGGACTTTAGAGGTGGTTGAAGTGAAGCATTCCAAACTTCTTGGAGGCCTGGTCTTTATTCTTGTTGAAGAAACTTTGCGCGCAAGATGAAATTTCAGCGCTCCTTATTAAACGGAAAAATGACTGTTCCATGCCATCCAGGACCATGCTACCAGCACAAAGAAGTATTTTAAGTAACAAAATACGAATGTGAATACCCAAAACATCAAATCTTCAACTACAAAAATTTTTAACGGGTTTTTTAATAAGATGGTCAACCTGACCTAAACAAACCTCGATGTATGGCCTTATGATGACAGATCAAGGAAACCAATAGTGCAGGTAGAAATATGTTCTCATTACTCTCGTATACGTCCCAAATGATCAAACTTGGTGACATTCACTTGCATTTGAGACCAGATTCTTTTGGGGGGCAACGCCCAGATAAGATCTTTTGAATGGGAGCTCTCAAATTGTATACATAAAAAAATTTGGTGTCCGTTCCAGCTCCTCGCCGAAGTGCCCCTTAGTTCAAACACCTACCGCGTCCGTTCGCCGGCTGGCAGTCAGCGCCACCACCAGCTTGTCGGGCGAGTTCTCGGCCTGCTCCCGCCCCTCCACCTGCAGACTCATCTTGCAGTGGACTGGACCGCTAAGCATTCGCAGCGCGGTCAAGACGGCGCTGTCCTGCATCTCCTGGAGGCCGTCGTCGAGTCCCGCGAGGCCTCCTCGCTTCATCAGGCGCCGGAAGCCGCTCCGAAGAGCCACCCTGGGTCGCCTCAGGTCGTGGTCGTCCATGCAGCCCGCAGACGGGGCGCTATGGCAGTCCAGGCACCACCATGAACCGCGCGGCCTGCAGGCACAGAAGAACGTTTACGTTTAGCCTGGTGAAATTTTCAAGTAGACATTAAAATAATACAACAGAGTTGAAACTGTGCTTAATTATTAGGTTCAGTATGGTGAGTTCCCGAAAGAAAATTCAATACAAAATGTAGAACGGTCTCTTAGAAAGGAGCCACTTTAGTTTTTTTTAGTGCGCTGGGGAAAAATCTTCCTGGTCTTTCATTGGGACGGAAGGTCTTGAAATTTTTATTGGGTTATCCTTAAGATGTATATTAGAGATTTTAGTGACGGAATTTTCAAATTCAACTTCTGTCCTGAGACACAAATTTTCAAAGTTTAACATTTCAAAAGATTGAGTATTTTTACTTATTTTCAAACTTTTTTGTGTTTGTAAGATAAAATAGGGCTGAAATCAAGATTCCGGCACTAAAATTTGTCGACAAATCATCAAAGAACAGAGTCCATTCAAGACGACTCATGGATGTGTCAACCAGGAACGCAAAAAGTCTTTCTACGACAAAAATTTTTGTCGACTGAGCAAAGTTGTGAAGTTGAGCGTATAAGCCAGCGACAACTGATCTTAATGTTGTTTCTTTCCAAATGGTAAAGAAACTACCCACTTACCTTAAAGGTGTTCAACCTGTTGAATCTGAAACCTTCAATGCACATTTTTACCTATAAACTTTAAAAATACTATTTTTGGCAATTTTGGCCATTTTTTCACCAGGATCCCCCCTCAGCAACGTCCAGCTAACGCACAGTTACTGGCTTCAAACGCCACAAACACACTGAAATTCAAAGTGTGAGAAGGGAACAATTCGACTTATCGTCAAAGTTAGTTTTTATCTTATTTTTGTGCTTTAGGATGGTTTGCATCATTACACCAAATTATTTGACTCAATTTCTAACAGTTTAGAAGAAAATCCACATGAAAAATAGATACAAGTCAACTTGACCCCTTTTACAAACTAAATTTCATTGGAAAATGGAGTCAACTCAACCGAAGTCAACATGACTCCGTTGCACAAAATGGCAAAAGGAAACAACCCAACTTGCGTCTTTGAACCTAATGCAAAGAAATCAACTGAACTTAAACTTAACTCCCCCTAAATAGTTGGAAAAAAGAGGTAACTCCCAAAATGTGCCAAATTACTACGCAGACCTCAGCTCCACTTGAATTGTCTCCCAGTTCCACCTCGTTTGGGAGATCTAAGTAATCACGGTTCCGTAGTCCATTCTAATGTAAAGATTTAAGTAACAGAAACCGTCAACAGAGTCAGGCTCGGACTGGCCAGGGCAGATAGGCAGAAAAATCTGCCGGGGCCCTCGGCCGGTCGGGGCCAGAGTGGCGTTGCACTTTTGAAAATTTTCACAGTCAATTCTTAGACTTTTTTTGACAAAAATGCAATTGCACCATTCACCAGATTGGATTTAGTTTACGCTGCAAACAGATTCACTACAAATCCAAAGGTCAGACTTCTCGCCACTCCAGAGGCAAGACATAAAAGTCTCGCCAAGATTTGGTCAGACCTGGAAGTCTCGCCAAAATTTGGTCAGACAAAAAAGTCTCGCCACAAAACGGTCATACACAAAAGTCTGACCCCAAAATGGCGACACTTTTGTGTCTGACTACCACCGAAAGGCCGTAATGCGCTGGACGGTTCCGGTCGAAAGGCCGTGGTCAGACACAAAAGTCTCGCCATTATGGGGTCACACTTTTGTGTATGACCGTTTTGTGGCGAGACTTTTTTGTCTGACCAAATTTTGGCGAGACTTTAATGTCTCGCCATATTTTGGCGTGAAGTATTTCCATCCAAATTGCAGTGATTTCTTTGTTTGTTTGCTTTTTTCAAAAACAAAAATGATGAAAATTGAATTATCCCCTCCTTCCACTTCATGGATCAATTTTCGGTTATGCAAAAAGTATCACCAAAAGAGGGGTCTTACAGAAATTCATCACTAAGCTAGGGCGATAATACAATGTATCACCGGGAAAAAGGTGAACAGACTGCACATTTCAAAAGAGAATGCTACGCTTCACTTTACCAGTGAAGCAGTCCTGCACAGCATACACAGCATCAAACTTACCTTTCACTGTTTCCCGGCTTCGGTATTGAATCCGAGCGCAGTCGCTTCTTCGGGTGTCGGTACTCCTTGTCGGTTTCCATCGGCACCATGATCGGAGGAGTAAGAGTCAGCACTGCTTGCCTTTCGCTGGACGCGAGCGGACTGAGACTGAGGTGACTAGGACTAGACCTGTAGCCGGTCCGGTCCGGCGGGAGTATAGATCGCCACCATGGCGCCACCGTCGGCACCCGTTTCGGCGCGCAGGTACGGCCGGCCGAGGCCGAGGGCCGAGGAGCGCGGAAAAGTCCCTAATCCCTAATCCGCCGGCCGAGCGGCGAGCGCGCCGAGCCAGATCGCCTCCGATTCCGCGAAGTCGCCACTCCAGCGCCACAGGGGAGGCCAAAGCTCCACGCGGGTCGCCACCGAAACTCGGCGCCACTTCGGCGCGACTCGGGCCGGCTGAGGCCGAGGGCCACTTCTGGCAACGCTGGTGCAGACTGACCCCAAAGACGTAAGGGAGTATGGGGCGATTTGTAACAGATTTCGGAATTCGCTATACAAAATTAAGAACATTCTGCATATCGGTGTCAAACTTGTGCCAGTTGAGCAGTCTGGCCCTTCATCTAGACTGTGCAGCTCCATTGGATCAATCTGGAGTCCGTAATCTTTGAAATCTAAGACGTTTTTCAAACCCTTGCATGCTGTTACGAATCGCCCTAGCATGGGGCGATTTGTAACAGCCATGGGGCCGAGGGGGTATTCACTGCTGTAATAGTCTGTTCACCTTGGCCGTAATAATGCCTGTAATAATGGGTAATAACGCGTAATAATGTGTAATAATGTAAAATAATGGAGAATAATGTAAAATAATGTGTAATAATGTGCAATAACGTGTAATAACACGTAATAATGCGTAATGTACGCATTTTGTACTGAAATTTTGGCACATATTGGCTACAAAATGAAAGTGGTCTTAATTTGCTACTCTGTGCAGCAATATTTTCTACCCTTCCGGTGGTCCCGCCATCCTTTCTGTCTTCCCCCGTCTTCCCCTACCCTTCCCTACCCCTTCCCCCCACTCCCCCATGTTCATGTTGGCGGGAAACGGCACGGTGGAGTGGCTGATTTCATGAGGCTGCGCACACTTGGATCAGAAAAAAAACTTCTCAAGGAAACAAAGAGAAAGCTCATAGAAAAGCTGAGTGAGGGGTTTACTATCCGTACGCAGCTTTTTCATTGAAACTCACTGTTCTTGGTTACACCCTTACAACAAATATGAAACAAAATTTAGAATAAAATAAATTTTGGTTAAAATTCCTCTGCTGATTATTGGACAAAATAGTAAAATCATGCTCTCCTGAAAATCTTTAGAAATCCTATCGGTAAGGTGGGGTATTGGAAAAAAATCCATCGGAACCTCTCTGCCCATTCAAACAAACTTAAAATTTTAGTAGCATGTAAGTAACAGCATTCTGTAATATGAAAAACTACAGTTGAATGGCGGACACGGGAGGGGGGCAAGGTGGTGCTGGGCTTCCCTTTCGGTCAAAAACGACCGTAATAATGACTGTAATAATGACTGTAATAATCCTGTAATAATGTGTAATAATGTAAAATAATGCAAAATAATGTGTAATAATGTAAAATAATGTGTATAACGCGTAATAATTGTAATAAGCGTAATAGCGACTACTCTGTGCGCCAGTTTTCGAAGTGAATACCCCCTCGCATGGGGCTTTTCATAACATCCTCCACATTAAATGAAACGTCGTCGGGAATGTTATCTCCTCCACCAGTGGTTCTTCGCGAGGGGGAAATCACTCTTAAAAACTGTGACCCGACTACTCCCTATTACGTTCTATTACGCTATTACAGAAGGCTTATTACGCTCAAAAATATCCAGATTAGGCTAAAATCGGACCCTAAATAGGGGAAATTTTAAGAAATTTGGCTATTACGCTATTACTATTACGCGTAATACTAGGAATCGGTGACCCGACTATTACGCGAGTGATTTCCCCCTCGGTTCTTCGGGTGTCCTGCAGACGTCTAAAAATCTACATTACAAGCTGTCGTTGACCGCCTCCGCATTAACTGATCGGCTATGTCAATCCTAACCTCACTTTTTTCAATTTTAGATGAAAGAATAGAATAACTCGCTTTAAAATGCATTTCGAGCTGTGTAAATAAATTGGAATAAGGCAGCAGATGATTCGAGAAAAAATTCAAGCATTTAATTGCTAAAACTACTTAAATTCTTGTTTTTATACGGGTCTGTTACGAATCACCCCAAATGCCTGTTACGCAAGAAATACGTCCCTAACTATCACTGGACAAATTAAAAGCAACTTATACCACGTGGTTACATTGTAAAGGGGTCACGCTTCAAGGCCCCAACGGTGCTTCGATGGTGATTCGTACCTGGGGAGCCTCAGACAGAAACTTCCTAGAACTCAAAATAAAAGATTTTTCCTGTTTGCCGAAATTTTGGTGTACCCTATATTTCAGACGCCCTCCAAAACTATACCTGAGCACCGATCACATCCGCTTCGATTGTTCAAGGACCCTGTACTTGAAGCGAAAGAGGGGCCATACTCAGATTTTCCTCTGCTCCCTCCACTTAAATTAATAAACGCATTTGTTACGAATCGCCCCTGTTACAAATCGCCCCATACTCCCTTACAACAAATGTACAACAAAAACTGTACAATGAAAGTACAACAGGGATTGTAGAAAGTACAACGAGAATTGCACCAACCACAACGAGGCCTGGACTGCACAGCACTCGTCATGCCGGTTCCATTGTACTTTGTACAACAATTGTTGTACTTTGAAAGTACAATAAAAACCTGATAAAAAATTTGCCACAAATTTGTGTACTTTTGTTGTGGTTTTTTCTTGCAGTGCTGGGCAAGGCAGACTCCGCCGAGTTGCGGCGCCCGAGTGGTCCTCCGAGCAAATTCCCCGCCTCGCGGAGAGGCGCGTTTGCACGCTTGTTTGCCTGAGTCACGGTGGAGTTTGGCCGGCGCGAGACTTGCGGCGAGAGCCCTGTTGGGAAGTCCTGTCCCAGGATGGTAATATTCGCAGTTGTTACCCGAATGTGGACGGTACGAAGCCCGATGCAAACTCAGAGAGCACGGCGGGTATCGAGGTAAAATACGGCTTTTGGATTAGAAATCGATGCGTTTTTAAAATACATGAGTACATGAGTGAGTACACCTGAAAATACTTACAAATTGGGCGTATTGTTAACGTTTTTACGCTTTTTCATCGTTTGAAACGAAAAACAATACTGTACCGAATATTGTACTAATTTGGTTATTTCCGCTCTTTCAAAATTTGTGAATAGTACACTGAGTACGGGCTAATGTGAACACATGAGTACACTAGTGATTCACCCCTCGGGTTCAGTACTTCGCGACCTTTGAGAGGCCGTGAGGTTAATTCTGGTCTATGCGGTATTTTAAACGATATTTTACTATACATTTCTTTGTTTTGGGGTTGAAATAAGTAATAATTGATGTCTGGAGGTCGTAGTTACGTTTCAGTTTAGTTAGCCCATTTAATTGCAGGCTGTTTATTTTGGAGAAATTAGACGCGGGCACAGAATTGACGCGTCCCCTCAAAGAGGCCTCGACAGCTGTGTCTTGAGGCATTGCTTGGCCGTCTCGAAGGCTGCTCCATCCTGGATGCCGGCCTTGGACAGGCACTCGATGATCGGGTTGATGACGCTCTCCTTGGTCGCCCTCTGCTCGTTGATTGGAGTAATCCCCGCACGGAAGCGGCAGTCGTCGCTCGGACGGTAAATGCCTCCCTTGGGCACGGCAGGCAGGGGCTGCAGGCACTTGGCGATGCGGCTGTTGATTTCGTCCAACTGGTCATCGTTGTAGCGGCTCTGGGGGAACAAGGCACCAACGCACTCAGTGGTTGTATGAGGCGCTTGTAGCACACCTAATTTAAAATGGTTACCAAAACTGGTCTTCAAATTTAAAAAAAGGCGCCTCTTGTCAGATTTTTAATGAAAATTTTCCTGTCTGGCGAAAACGGTTCCCTGGTTTTCCCTAGAATTCCCTCTGGATAACGCCATGTCTTTACTGTGGGCTACTAGGGAAAACCAGGTACCGCCTCGTGAGTTCAGTAAGAGAGTGGGGCGTGCCCAACAAAGCCATCCCCCAACAAGTCGGAAATTTGTTACTTCTGACGAGCTAAGTCTTATGTCGCGCACGCTTTGCTATAGGTATCCCCGCGTCTACTTCCGTGAAAGAGCCGCTCACCTTCGCCACCTGAAACACACGCCAAAGTAATTGTTACACACAATAAATTAATTACTTCACACTCGAAGACAGTTCTCGAGGCCTGAATTCCTAGTGCTTAGCCAAGCACGAAAGTGTGTGTTGTTGCGCACGACTTTGAGCGTTTAATGCGCTTGGCCAGTGCACAAGCTTTGCACACAAAGGGTACGTAACAATTTTGTGCGTTTGAACGCAGCACGTATGGTTGTACTATCGTCCACAGCCACATGCACCTTACGTGCGATGCGTCCCGAAAATGTCCTATGCAGGCATTGCACTACTTGTCACGTGCGATGCAAATGTATCGCACTATTTGGTGCATTGACAACGGCTTCCAACATCGCAGTAAGTGACGCTGTACTGATGCAACCTAACGACATGTCGTTTGGATTCTCATTTACTTACAGCAGCTGCGAACAGCGCGAAGCAGAGGACGATGACGATCTTGGAGGCCATGGCTAGAGGTCTGGACGGAAGGTCGATGCTGCCACCGAGTTTGCGTGGCGCTTTTATACCCCAGCGACTCCGCTTCACCCGTCCCAGAATGGCGTCTCATTGCTGAGGCGAATGTCAACAACAGACAGGTGTCTTTGGTGCCTTCCAAGAATGCCGTCTCATTTCGTAGAAACAGCGTCTCGCTTCGACGAAACAGGTGGCGTTTCTTGCGAATTGATAGTCATCGTCGCAGGCGGGGGATTCCACTCGTATTCTGTTATTCGAACCGCAATACCCACTGTCTGTGCAAACGATGACTGGGCGATTCCATGCCAAACCAACGAACGCTTGGAATTTCATCTCTCCGATTTTGATGAAACTTTTTTTGGAGGTAGGGGTCATTATAAAAAGACCCCCTGCCAAAGGGTTTTGCGATATCTAACCCCGTGTGGCTGTGGCAGGATATCAAAGTTTTAGCTTTAGTCAATATCATAATATTTTCATAAATTTCCTCTTTTCTGGCTGATTTTTTCGGGATTTTTTTCCATAGTGTTTTTTACGTAAAAAGAGCTGGGGAACACGATGAAAACGATTTCAAGACGATTGGGTGAAGTTTTGATGCCAGAATTTTCATTTTTCGTCGTATTTTTTCGAAAAATTGCCATTCCCAAAATAGCTCATCTTCGATTTCGACCTAACTTTTACCAAATGATCTCCTAACATAGTGGAACAAAACCCTAAAAGGGTTTGGTCGGCCCGCCCATAGAATCTAAAAAAATCGCAAAAACAAATTTTGAAAAATCACCAAAATCGTGTATTTGAGGTGGTGGTGGTCTTGGTTCTTGCCTGCGCTGCGCAGCCGTCTGTCTGGTCAACATCGACTTCCCCGCTCGGCGTGCGAAGGAAAACCACCCGCCAGGAGCGCCTGTGAAGCTCGGATAGGCAACCCGCAGGCCAGAGTGCGCATGTGCGTGCGTTGGGAGGGCAGCACCGGGATACGCGCCACGATTTAGCCAGGGGAGCGCCTCGGAGTCTGCCAATTTCGCCCATAACTTCTTTGTCTATGCAAGATAGACCCGTAAGCGAGCCGATTGTAGGCAACGCTGCTAGCTTCCCAATAAGCTAGTTTTCATACATGTGCGATAATTGCAGTGAGAGCTATAAGTCAAAAACAGCATCTGTGCCGGCTGCCGCCTGGCTGCTAGTGGCGTATATCCCAGTGGCGCCCCTAGCGGCGAACGTCTGCAGTCGCTTTCCCCATGTTTCTTCTGTTAAAATGGTGAACAATTCATGTTGTAGAGGCGGAAGAAAAGGGGGAGAGTTAAATTAGATAACGGTAAATACCCATTATTTACTCAATTTTACGCAAATGAAAAAAAACTCATTTTTCAATTTTTTAGAGTTGATTACTATATTACTATATGTCTGTGCTAGATAGCATACAATATGGTTTATTTGGTGGAGCAAAAATATTATAATTGAAATTTATTATTTTACCGCTGTGGATTTTCCAACTGTTAAAATCTTGTTTTCAGGTTCCATCTATTACTATCTATTGGACAATATTGAAGAGCCTGTGCAGTGCAGCTTGAAAATGTTCTAGCTAAAGTTGATATTATTAAAGTACCAAATAAACCATATTGTGTGCTATCTAGCACAGACAAGATCAGAGTAAGATAGCAACTTCCAGTAATCAACTCTAAAAAATTGAAAAAATTAGTTGTTTTTTTTTTCATTTGCGTACAAAATTAAAATTGAGTAAATAATGGGTATTTACCGTTATCTAATTTAACTCTCCCCCCTTTTCTTCCGCCTCTACAACATGAATTGTTCACCATTTTAACAGAAGAAACATAGACTTGTACACACGATTGATTGTGGTCTAGCCTTTCAAGTGAAGTTCAGTTAACTGATGTGTGTTCTAGCCCTTAGTGGTAACGGTAATGGAAGGTAGGCAACCCAACGCACGCACATGCGCACTCTGGCCTGCGGGTTGCCTATCCGAGCTTCACAGGCGCTTCTGGCGGGTGGTTTTCCTTCGCACGCCGAGTGGGGAAGTCGATGTTGACCAGAACAGACGGCTGCGCAGCGCAGGCAAGAACCCACACCACCACCACCACCACCACCTCAAATACACGATTTTGGTGATTTTTCAAAATTTGTTTTTGCGATTTCTCAGATCCTATGGGCGGGCCGACCAAACCCTTTTAGGTTTTTGTTCCACTATGTTAGGAGATCATTTGGTAAAAGTTAGGTCGAAATCGAAGATGAGCTATTTTGGAAATGGCAATTTTTCGAAAAAAATATGACGAAAAATGAAAATTTTGGCATCAAAACTTCACCCAATCGTCTCGAAATCGTTTTCATCGTGTTCCCCAGCTCTTTTTACGTAAAAAAACACTATGGAAAAAAATCCAAAAAAAATCAGCCAGAAAAGAGGAAATTTAAGAAAATATCATGGTTTTGACTAAAGCTAAAACTTTGATATCCTGCCACAGCCAAACGGGGTGAGATATCGCAAAACCCTTTGGCAGGGGGTCTTTTTATAATGACCCCTACCCCCAAAAAAAGTTTCATCAAAATCGGAGAGATGAAATTCCAAGCGTTCGTTGGTTTGGCATGGAATCGCCCGACTGTTATGCTTTCCAGCAAGGCCTACACACTAAAACACAACGTAGGGTATTTTGAGCATAGCTTATGTACGTGAAACGCATGAACTCGTGCGCAACACTGGTAAAACTAAAGCGTAACTCTATGCTTGACTCAAAAGTTACGCTTGAAGACGTTACGCTTGAAACGAAGCTTAGTCTTGAAATTCCCCCATGCATTTAGATAGGGGGAACCTTGGTTTCAAGCGTTATCAGATTACGCTTGAAAACAGGGGGTAATACTACGCTTTAGTTTTACCAGTGAACAACGCACACTTTCGTGCTCGTACACGCGTAACAAGAGTGTTCTAGCGGATGCATTTTACTGGCCTATGCTTTAAGATAGGACTAATCGAGTGGAGCGTGTACTTGCAAGCACACTCTCATTTGACGTGCACACTATTTCAGCGTGTGACTGCAAGAAAGCTGGGGTCACACGTAATCATGTCTTAAGGATTTTCAACCTCCCCCTCTCCCCTCCCATGTCATCAGACGTAATCAAAGGCTAGATAGCCCCCTCCCCCCGCAAGAATACATATCAACCAAATTTGCTAAAATAGTAAAGGATCAAGAACCCATCATGTGTAAGTGCTTGCTGAGACGGTAAAATGAACAAAGCCTTATGACACCGGTCTTAAGATTAAAAGCATCGAAAACTTTGAGGATGTACAACGTTAAAAATGCAAAGCTGAAATCTTAATCAGATTTTTAACTTGATGGTAATTTACAGCGTGGAAGCTGAAGCAACAGTAATTCTTAAACTTCCATTGCTAACTGTTTCCGGTTCAGAGAGAGAACTCAGAATGAAATTATTCAGAATTCAAAATAATATGTCTTTGATAATGTTTACAGTTCAAACATTTGCTTCTCTTTCCCGAAGCGGCAAAACAAGCGTTTTGCACTGGATTGCCAGCGCGCAGAGAAGCGCGTGAAGTATCTGCGCTCATACGGGTTATAGTACACTGCAGGAAATAACCACAACAAAAGTACACAAATTTCTGGCAAATTTTTTATCAGGAATTTTGTGTACTTTTCAAGTACAACAATTGTTGTACAAAGTACAATGGAGCCGGCATGATGAGTGCTGTGCCGTCCAGGGCTCGTTGTGGTTTGTACAATTCTCGTTGTACTTTCTACAATCCCTGTTGTACTTTTATTGTACAGTTTTTGTTGTACTTTTGTTGTACTATCCACACTTTTTCTTGCAGTGTATGCTGTAAATAAGAGTGTGCTTGGAAGCATGTTCTAATAAGAGTGTACTATTAGACCAGCTCTTATTTTCGAAAAGTGTGATTTTGAGTGGGTTTCCCGACTCAAAGTGACCGAACTGGTGAAAAAAGTTTAAAATTCAAATCCTAAGTTCATACGACTGCCTAAAGCCGTGCCCCAAGGGTCAGTTATGCGGTCCAGGGTGAGTTAATTTCTTTTCGATTTTTACCGAAACAACACTTTCCTTAGCCTAATTCGGTGATTTTAAGGCGCTTTGGGCGAAAATTCAGTCCGTTTTGATGTCTTCAGCGCCACGCAACGATCTACCATATTATCAAGCTAGAAACAGTCAGACAGTTACTGGTTAAGCAGCTTTCGACAAGTATTGTGGCATCTCTGGTAACTTTCCGAAGTCAATGTAGGACTTGCTTTCTTTGATAAAACAAGTGTAACTAATAGGCTGTTATGTCGGTTTTTTAAAAAACGAGAAATACAGTTTTCTCACATGCTTCATCTTGATGTGTCCTTTCTGCACAAAGACCCGTCGGCGTGGGAGTCAGACGAATCCTTTCAGAGGGGTTTAAAAGTTGTCAAACAACTTGGCGTAGTCAATGATGTGGCAAATCGCGGTGTCGCTCTCGGTGTCGGTGACCCTGCTCACTTACCAAAACACGCTGGGGCTCCCCTTGAGCAAGGTAGGCAAAGTGGCGGGCAACCGACCTTTTCTATATACTTTGAGCGCGATGCGCGACCCCTAAATGTTATCCGATCCGATCGAGCCCTTACTTCTTTTGGCTTCATTACTCATGGATTGAAACACGAAACGGAGTCCGCGTATTTGTCGGACCATTCTATTTTCAGTGAACGCGTATCCACGGTATACTGCATTGAGTTTCGGCCAATTATCTACTAATGCCTTTGCACCGTACAGGTCCGAAAAAACTTCAAGGCTGAAACACAGCTAAGGGGCGACCCCGGTGAAAACATGTCCAAAATTGCCAAAATCATTATTTTTAAAGATCATAGATAAAAATGTGCATAGAAGGTTTCAGATTTAACAGTTTAAACACCCTGACAAATTTTAGTGACGGAAACTTGATATCAGCCCAACCTTATTTTACGAACACGAAAAAGTTTGAAAAAATAGGCTAAAAACTCCCTTTTTAAAGTGTTAAAATTTCAAAATTTGTTTCCCAGAACGGAAAGTTGAATTTGAAAATTCCGTCACTAAAATCTCTTCTAAATATTTTTAGGATCACCCAAAAAAATTTTCAACACACTGCAGGAAATAACCACAACAAAAGTACACAAATTTCTGGCAAATTTTTTATCAGGAATTTTGTGTACTTTTCAAGTACAACAATTGTTGTACAAAGTACAATGGAGCCGGCATGATGAGTGCTGTGCCGTCCAGGGCTCGTTGTGGTTTGTACAATTCTCGTTGTACTTTCTACTATCCCTGTTGTACTTTTATTGTACAGTTTTTGTTGTACTATCCACACTTTTTCTTGCAGTGCACTTTCTGTTCCAATGGTTCTACGACGGTTCACCTAAACTTTTTCGCCTAAAACCTGGATGCCTAAGTATTTTTTGCCAAAAATTTTAAATTTGTCATTTGACCTAAAAACGTTACACCGCACAAAAAGTGCTTTGACCAGTATTTCATTGTAGAGACTCTAGCCGCCCACTGGTGAAACAAAGGCATTAAAATTATGCCCTTAAAGAGCATAAAAGATTTATGCCCCTGGAGCGGCGTGAATCGTTAATGCCTTTTGGAAGGGCATTAACACTGGTGTTAGTTCATTCAGGAAAATTCACTCAGAAAATTGTCGGAGTGACAAATCCTGAGTCATTTTCGCGCACCTCTGAGTGATTTTTTCCTGAGTAACCCTTTCTGAATGATGTATCCTGAGTGGCTTTCTCTGAGTGAACCATCTCTGAGTGGCAGTTTTTTGACTGTCCTAAAAAGTCAACTATATTACTGATACGAACATGGGAAGAACTTCCTCCCAATGTTGATATCAAGTCCGATCTGAATCCGAGGTCCGTTTTGCGGTATGCCAGTAAGTGTGGTCAGATTTCCACGAAATAAAAACTGCCCTTGTCAATTGGCGATAGCATGCCGCCTACGCCCTTAAGTATAATTTTCGGTGAAACATCCCCTAAAACCTGATTTCGGAAGAAAAAATTTAGATATTATTGTTTGGACTTCAAAACTTTCGGCAATGTGGGATTCGGTGAAAAAGTTTAGGTGAAACGTCGTGATACCGTTCCAATGAAAGACGCAGGAAGATTTTTCCCCAACGCTCTAAGAAACACTAAAAAGGCACTTTTCTCAGAGACCGTTCAACATTTTGGATTGAATTTTGTTTTGGAATCTCACCATAATGGACCTAATAATAAAGCAAAGTTTAACTTTTCTTAGATTATTTTGTAGTCTACTTGAAAGTTTAACCAGAGTCCCAACAGTGATTTTTCGTTGACGAAAATCAGTTGTTATTTTTTAACTTTGCGCAATTCCATTTTAAAAGAACAGGATTTTAAACACATACTGTTCACGTTTGGTGTCAGCTGATGAATCGTTTTCAATTTCGGACACGTCAAAGACTCAAAAGTACAATACTTTCTTTAGTGGACATGTTTCGAGCCGTTTCCGAGCGCCTGCGAATCTAGAGCCGCACAGGCGTGAAGTACGGTAATCACGGGCGCTTCGGTGGTGACGACGGCGTGCGGCGCTCAGCAAATCTCGGTTATGCGCCTGGCTGAACTGAAATGCGTGCAGAGGACCCAAGAGGCATCAGTGTCTTAACAGAGCAGCGTGTTGTAAACGAGCTTGAAAATTAAAGTTTATTGCAGGTATCTTCACAAACTGCACAATGGAGGTGAGATCGTTTAAACTTAAAGGAAAATTCACAAACTGCACAAAAGAGGTCAGGTAGCTAAAACAAAAAGGTGGACTCATCAAAGGAACCGTAACACTAGGCTGGGCCGCAAGGCTTTGAATTCCTGAACCAAAGTGGACTTTTCTGAAGGGTCATGTTCCCGGATGACGAGTTCACGCAGCTTGGGACAAGTCCAAGGTGTCAAGAACTCCAACACATGCCGGAAGTCCGTCGAAATGTCCAGCAGGAGATGTTCCACTGCAGGCAGCAACTGCAAACAGGCGGCAACCAGCTCCGACTTGACAAGGGGCGGTCCCAGCGAACGGGAACGCACAGTCACGCGATGGACGCCATGCAAGGCGTCTGCCAGGCCCACGAAGCGCCGGAACGAGTCCTCGTGGCTGACGTTCGCGTCCAGATGGATCTTGACCGTTAGCCGCTGGTTCTGGGCAGACTTGAGCCAAACCGCCGTCAACGGACAGAACACATCAGTGATTGTAAGGTATTGAACACAGTGCACTATCTGGTCCAAGCTCGCGCAAGAGGACACTGACAGCGTGGTGAGTTTAGAGCAATACTGAAGTTCCCGCATGAGAGGTGAGTAGTTAAACAGAGTCACCTCGCGGATGGTCTCCCTCCCCAGGAACATGAGGCTCTTCGCCAGGTTCAGATTCATACAATGAGGCCAGATGAGGTGTTCTAGGCGAAGACGCTTGAAGCAGAAATCGGGACACTTGGAGCCCAGTCCAAGTTGCAGGGTTTTGAGGCCCCAGAGGCCGTCGATGGCCTTCAACACTGGCACTAGGTCACTGTTGGCAGAGATGGCGGTGATTCTGATGCGGAGCTCTTGAAGGGTGAAGCGCCGCCTGTAAAGAGCGTCTTGCACGATCCTGTTGGATTGGCCGCCGGCCAGGACACTGAGCTTCAATGAGCGGACCTGGAAAACAAAGACAATTCCACATGGTCAGTGCACTAAAGCGTAACTCTTGGCTTGAGTCAAGCATAGAGTTACGCTTGAAGACGAGGGGGTAAGCACTCGCGTAATACCCTGTACAGAGAAGCCGTGTATTAGGCGTAATACACGTAATTGTAATACCATTTTTGGGCCAAATGTGCCAAATTTTGGCATATTAATGCCGAAATACGCTTGTAATATCCCCGTAATAAAGCGTAATAACCGCGTAATACCGAGTACTCTGTACACGATTTCTTGGAGTGTTTATTCCCGCTTGAAGACGTTACGCCGAGGGGTCGACAACTCGTATATTACCCCGTAAGCGGTGGCTATTACATGAATGTAACCTGTATATTACCCCTATATTGCAATATATTAGTACAATACATTTCTGTATAATACTGTATATTACCTATAACTGGCAATATACGTATACTCCCTTGTACAAGGCTGAGGGGAGTTGTCAACCCCTCGCGTTACGCTTGAAATGAAGCATACTCGGGAAATTCCCCCATGCATTAAGATAGGGGAGGTCTTGGTGGATGAGCCTGTTACGCTTCTTTTGAAGTGTAACCTTTTTACGCTTGAAAACAGAGGGTAATACTACACTTTAGTTTTACCAGTGTAGATACATATTTAATTAAAGACGCTGAGAACTTATGTGTGTGCTCAGCACACTCCTCAAAGCGCTTGCTTGTGCACACGAAACTCTATGGACCTTTTATGCATCGTACACTGATAAAAATTTAGTCGTACTAAGTAAAGGATAATTGGTCCACAACAGACTTTTAATCATATATCAACAGTCTACCTTAAAAACAATTCGTTGACCAACAACAAATATTGTTGGTCAACGACAAGTATTGTAAGTCTAAAAAGATTTTGTTTAACAGCTGAGACAAGTATTGATTTAGCACTTAAGTCGCTAGATCTATTTTTCATGGTTCTACTGTTAACATTAGTAATTTCCTTAACACTTAAAAGAAGAAAATAGATGATAGTTCATCATTAATTTAAATTGAGCAGATAATGACAAACAATGTTGTTTGCTTAAAAATTGTATTGTTAATAGTGATGACAAGAATTTTGTTTTTCTACAACAAATTGTCGCTTTCTGAATTCAACGACATTTGTTTCGGTTTAATTCATGGTGACATTCTATGTTTTGAAACTAAATTTTCACTCATCTGATTGAGTCTGTACAACCAGATACATACAATAGAGAGCTTACGTATGGATCAGTGCATGCGTAAGTACCTTTTCAAAAGTCCACAGGAGTTGAGTGTGAACACACTGAATGTTAACGTACTTTCGTTGTTCATAACTACTCCGCAACATTTGTGCAAGGACAATATTAAGGACAATAGTTCCATAATGGGTTAAAGTATTCAGAAAATCCTACCGAAAATATGTATGCACAAATCTGTAGACAGATCACATGTGCACAAATATACGGGAATAGTTAGGGACGAAACGTCGATGTGCGTGTCTGCGCAGGCCGGCGCAGGCACTTCGAGCACGCGCTTTGTAGCTCGAAGGGATGCATACCTGACAGCTTCCCTCAGCTAAAGCTCTGAGGAAAACGAGGCCCTGCAGTTCTTTCCCGCGTTTGGTCATCATTATGTCCAGAGTGTCCAGGGCCGGGGCCAGACGCAGGATGGCTGCGAAGGGGGCTCTGCCCTGCCTTTCCCCGATGGTGAGGACGCGGCGCTCCCACACGTCCTTCTCCAGGACGAGTCTGCTCATGCGACGGCTCAGCAGGCGCAGGGGCAGCAGCTCCACTGAGGGCACGTATGCCAGCACACGGGCAAGCAGTTTCGTGGGCAGCGCCTCCAGCGGGGAGCCAAGCGCAGATTCCTGCATAAGGGCACATTGCATTCAGTGAATTTTATGGAATCACCACTGCAAAGCCGGTTGCACACTGAAAATAGAAGGGTCAGACTTCTGACCTCTATAACGATCTTACTGAAATGTACGACCGAAAAAGGGTCACACTGAAATGTAAGACCGAAAAAAGGTCATACTTCGATGTATGACCGAAAAAAAGTCATACTTCGATATATGACCGAAAAACGTCATACTTTATAGTGTATCACAGGTAAAGGCTGATGTATCCCCAAGCTAAACAATAGCCAGTCTCGCTGATGTCTGACCTTTTTTTGGTCATACATTTAAGTATGACCCGTTTTCGGCCATACATTTGTGTACGACCGTTTTTCGGTCATACCTTTTGCATCACCGAGAATCGGTCAGATGTCTCACCCTTCGAATTTCAGTGCATGTTCGCTTGTCCCAAAATTGACAAGCCTGGCCTTGAAATTCTACTCAGTTTGCCAAAACTTAGGCATTGCAGGCGCCCAGAGCGCCAAATTTTGGCAAGCTGATGAATGCAGGACAATAGGCTACCCACTTTCGGGCATTCATTCAAAATGGCTGAAACTTGGAAAAACTTGCAAACTGCACCGGATTTCCAATGGCTCTTCAACGATTCAGACAGCGTGCTTCCACTGTGAAAAATTCCGCACTTCGACACGAAAGATGAACGCAAGAGCAGAGCAAGGAAGTACAGAACGTCCGGACTTGACCCAATAAACTCATTCACGGGTACGAAAAAAAAAGTTCGGAACTTCTTTCCATGGAAACGTACGGACGGTTCATGCAAATTAATCGCTGACCAGACTTGTTCCGTACTTTCTTAAGCCTGGCAACGCGTCTCTGAAAGAAATCACCTGAGTGCACGATGAAGGTGAAGGGTCCGTCTCAGACGTGGAACTCTCCTCTCCTGGGCTGCGACGGACAGGGCTCCGACTTCGGCTCCTACTTTGATCCCCAACTCTGCGCCCTGGGCTGCTGCTGGGATAACAGGGAGCAAAAATTACCGGAATGTTGACACATCGAATCGACAGTTTGAGCCCGTCCCATATTCCTCCCTCGATCATGCTGCGTATACAATTCAATTTGCAAGCAAAAAGGCAAGGGACATCGTCTGCCAGACGAACTTTATTAAGTCTGAGAAATATATCGTAAGTTTGGTGTTGCCACTCACTTGTTTCGGGCTCGATCCAAAATCTGAGCGTCTTCTAACTTCACTTGTGCTGCATTCAAGTCTTTGACAACGTCTACCTCCTTTGCAGGTCCGCAATCTCTTTTCAAACGTTTCTCCTTTTGCACTGTGACACCTGATGTCACTGGATTGACAGGAAGCTAAGACAGAGAATACAGAGGATGTGGCTCATTTGAAATCAGTTGACCAAACATATTTCCAAAATAATTTTTGAGGAGTTACGGTCCCAATCAGACTAGGAAAGGGCAACCCTCAGACAGTGAGGAATTCCGCCTGAAAGAGGAAAAAAAGAAATTGCAAGATGGCCGCCGCTAGAACATCACAAACCCTCACTTGTTTTCGGATTGTTTCTGCTCTGCGCATGCGCAGAAGCCCCCGAGCAGAAAAAAAATCCGAAAACAAGTGAGGGTTTGTTATGTTCTAGCGGCGGCCATCTTGAAATTTCTTTTCTTCCTCTTTCAGGCGGAATTGCTCGTTCGGTTGGTTGCCATGAGCCCTTAAAGTTAAAATTTAATTTTTTTGTAAAAATAAAAAAAGGTACGGAACAGACGTCGGCTCTGTAGGCTTAATGCTTAACTCCGTAAGAAGAGAGGCTGTGCAGCCACATTAAGGTGCGAAAATCGTTTGCTATACTCGTAACTTTCAAAGAATTCTGTCGAGTTACGGAGCGAGTGCAGCAGCCGTAATACGAAGGTTTAGCACCATAATACGAATATTTTTCACCATAATACGACAACTCGTCTTTAAAGACATTCGCCTTCGCACGAAAACAAAATGTCCTGAAGTTCATCTTAAGGGGGCACACCAGTGAAAATCGGCAAATTTTTGCCTTCTTTTTTTATTTTATCTTATTTTTCTGCTATTCATCCCGAGTCAAACGCCGCAAACCCCACCCCAAAATTCCGTTTACTTTGGTTTGTGCACATTTTTAAAGTTGCTAAAAAGGTAATTATTTTTGGATATTTTAGACCAATTGTTAACGTTCATGTTTTTTAGTTGAAGTTTAATACCAAAACCCTTGAACCACCCAAATGCAGTTAAGAAGAGGGACATTTTGGCGCAAACTGAGCTTCAATACGTCAAAAGGATGGTCTGAACCTCGGAAATAGCCATCCCATAAATAGGACGTGAGCTACAGCCATGAAAGCTTAAAAAAATTGGTTAAAAAATTTGTTTCAATTTTTGCTTTTTGAAAAAACAAATTCAAAACCATTCTTTTTGCATGTCCGTGGTTCAGACCATAGCCACATGTGTCCTGTTGAGAAGATTTCAAATCCCGTGCTCGAGGCTCAATCCAGAGAGGCGGAATCGTGGCAGGAGTGAGGCAAGGTCGCAGAAAAATGAAGTGCACTGGCGCTCCGTCTTGTCATCGCCACCCCACCCTCCCATACTGAATTTTCTTTTCTTTGATATAATTTTGAGCTACGAATAAAATATCAATCGAATACATAGGTTACTTTTCTCAGAATGATCGTTTTTCAAAACCTTTGTATTTTCACTGGTGTGCCCCCTTAACAAAGACAATCGGCCCAAACAAAAAAATAATCACTTCTAGACGGAAACACTCCAGTGCAGTAATTGCGGCAAAGCATACACCTCATAGGGTGGAATACTTCGCCGCACATTGGAAATGGAGCATACCTCGGGGCAAGAGATGCGTTCCTTTTCGGGCGGGCTGCTCAGCGCACCGGCGCCGCACTTGCTGGGACTCGGACTCCTGCTCCTTCGCCGCTTCCTATCTCGCCCCGTAGCGCTGTAAAAACAAAAGAAGCATGAAAATAAATTGCCATTTCCAATTGCGTATTCTGTTGGGTTCTAAACCGAGAGTGAGGAGAGCGAAAGTATTAGTTCCGAATCAGCGCGTTTGCCCCCCTCCCCTTTCTCCCCATATTCTCCGCCAGACCTGAGTAGCAATGCGAACAAAATCTTGCGACAGCCAAGACTTTAAACGTTTCTCCGAGTGCTGGCCACAGAGAATCATTCTGTTGCCATTCAGAAACAATATTTTGAAAAAGTTCTTCTAAAATTTTTGAGGTCTCTTAAGGATATTGTACAGTGAAACTAGCATGTCACAGGAAGATCATTTAGTGGTCAAATTTCGACCACTATTAGATGAATTTATTTTCAAAGTTGGGGGCCCCAACCCATATCAGTTTCTGAGTTATGGAATGGAGGTTTACATAGTTTTAGCCGAGAAGAGGCTGTAAGAGCTATTTTATCAGGCTTATTTTAATTTTTCTTCAAATTTGTGAGATTTTAACCCATTTTGGTCTCTTTTTTTTTCAGGAAAACTAAGGCAGATATTAAAAAAGGGCAACGCTATCCTTATCCTTTTTAAAAATAGATAAGAGTGCCAGAATCTGAAGACTGGGTAGCTAATCCTTTGTCGTGAGGAGAATTTGGGAGAAACGACTCAAAGTTTACGTAAACCTCCAGAACTCAGAAACTAATCGGAGTTTGGGGCCGTAGTCTTAGGGTATGAGTTTATTTAATAGAAAGGAACTTTAACCCGTAAATTGAGACATCTGACAGAAGTATTTAAAAAATGTCATATAGCCACTTTTCTTCACTTTACAGTAACCTCAAATAATTACACACGTCAATACCCTTAAGGAAAAAAGTGCAAACAATTATATTTTGGCAAAAAAAATATATGGAATTTTGCTTTTTCTCTCTCAAGGTTACTCACTTGTCTTGGTTACTCTGATTCGAGGTCGTCGCGTCATCCAACTCTACTTTCAAGTCCACGCTCTTCACTTCTTCTATCCAGCTGGCAAGCTCTAAGCCTTCACCTTGAGGTTCTCCTTTTACTGCTGCTACAACAGGAGGCTTGCAATCCTCCGGAACAGCAACAGGTTCCTCCTTCACAGTGAAGTCAGCCATTTCTCAGGGCAGGCAGGCAGCTGGAAAGTATACGAGGAATTAGCTTGAGAGAACTCTCCCTGAGAAACCAAACGCTATGAATATAGCGTCAAATGGTGAAATGCCTTCCCTATCCCATGCATAGTATAGGGCATTTCGGGACGTATTGCACGTAAGGTGCAATGTGGCTATGGCAATTGGCAATGCACGTATAGTGCGATATCTCAGTGCGTTGCATTAGACGTGCTATATTCATACCGTTTGGAATCACAGTGCTTGTAAGTGTTTACACACAGCATCCTTTTACTCCCGTCCGGCGCTTGGCAAGATGTCATTTCATTTACTTCCGGTCGGAATCTATACGTATGAACCCCATTGCTCCCGCTTTGCTCATCCAGAGAACAGACAAAGTTCAAGTTGAGATCAAGAGACTTCAAATTCATAAAACTTAGTGAAGCTCCATCCATGACCCATCAAGGCCTGAATTTGACAAGGTACTTTGTATCAAATTCACATCACATGATATCATATTCATTAAAAAGATATTAACATGCACTTGACATCATGATCCGCTAATTTTGACCGGCGGGTATATGATGTCATCATCTTGACACCTATCACGTGATATCATCATGACCTCTTCTAATCCTAGGGTACTGGAAACCAAAATAGGGTACCTAGGAGGAAACCCAGACCGGAAGTCAGCGGCAGAACGGGAGAAACAAAAGAGCGTGCCGCGGCTGTGCTGAGCGGTGGTGTGGGTCGAAATCGTCGGAGTGGGGGTGCAGGCGGCGTGCGCACGTTACCCCCACTCTGCCCATTCCGGCCCCCACCACCGCTCGGCACGACCGCGTGACTCTCTTTTGATACTCCCGTTCTGTCGCTGACTTCCGGTCTGGATTTCCTCAGTGGTACCCAATTTGTCCTGGATGAGAGCAAGTGCTGGACGCTTGCACGTTAGTACACCGCCTAGTGCGGACGCTACAAGCCGTATTGTAGAGGAAGTACTTCTGGTTTCGTATGAGTAGCACTCATCCGACGCATTTCTTTGGGCTTATTTCAGAAATGTGTACGGTTTTTCTATTGGAGGTTATTTTTAAGCTATTAACTCTACAGTTTTACAACTTAGATAGTCTTAAACGAGTTCCGGAAAGAACACTTTTGTTGTGAGTTCCGGTTCAGGTTTCGTTGGCCCCTGAATCTCGATGACGCAAGGACGAAGATAAATAAGAGGCGTGCCTCGCCGAGGAGGCACCAGTTTTTTATTTGTTAACAGAATACTGACGCCGCCTGACGCCCTCCCAGAACGGAATTGAGGTCAAGACCGAGGTATAGGTGCATGTGAGGCGAAGGCGAAGTTCTACCACAGCGCAGGTCCCTGTCAAAAGGTGCCATCTCTGACTTCAATATTGGTTCTTCTTACTTCCGTCCTGAGAGGGACTCGGCAGAGCGTGCAGAACGGACTAACGCACCGGCCAACAGCATGTGCTCGTCGGGCCCATCCCAAAACAACAAAGGATTTGCTGTGTCGGTAGATCTGTAAATAATATTTACCAATAGTAAGTTGACTTCAAATAAGTTGGTACACTCGCGCCCCTAGCGGCGACTTCCAAAAGCACTCACCACCCTGGTGGCTCGCCTCTCGCATGACTTCAGTCTACAACCAAGCCTCGACCTGTCTGTTACCCCGTAATCCCAAACTACAACGAAGCCCAGCTTAAGGGACTTAACAGGATTTACGACGGCCGAAGAGGTTTGGGGTGGCAGAAATTAAGGGAGAGGAAAGCTCATCGTGCCCCTCGAGAAAGGTGACGGCACAATGATCTTTTTACGTTTGCAACGAGGACTTGTTCAATGTTTTGATGGAGGCCCATCTAGCTGTCGCCCACGGCAAGAGAAACCGCATGTTGTTTTACCTAAACAAGAAGTGCGCAAACGTTGGAAGAGAAATAGTTGAGTTGTTTCTTCCCCTCTGTGGTGTTTGCCTGGCAAAGAAGAAGACGAAGCGTCGCGGCCTCACGGTGAAGCCACTAAATTTTGAGAAAATGAATGACAGGATGCAATTTGATCTGTTTGATTTTCAATCCACCCCTGATAGGGATTTCAAATGGATAATGAATGTTCAAGACCACATGACCAAGTTTATACATCTGAGGCCTTTAAAATCTAAGACTATGGAGGAAGTGACTCCAAATCTACTTGAAATCCTGCTTGAACACAAGCAGGATTTCAAGTTTCGAGATAATTGGAATATTCTAATTATTCCAATTTACTTATTTTCAGAGCTGGAAAGATTGTTGTTCTTATGCTCTACGAATCGCATCTACAAAAGGGCGTCTTGTAGAAAATCCAAATGGGGATGTGCTAGATGAGTATGAGTACACTTCTGGAAATCCAGAGGTTGACCGTATCATGAAGATAATCTCATGGGAGACAGCCTTCAACTCTCCCCAGTCCCCATTGGCTGTAAGTCATTGTTTTGCTTTCTATTAATGATCCAACGCCGACTCAAACGTTCCTGTCATTTTGTGACTCTTTTCCTAATCTGTCCACCTTAGTTTAAAGACGAACCATCAAAGATTCGAAAATTTGAGATCGTACTGTGCAAATCTGACTCCGAATCGAATCTTGCCTCATTCGACTCGGTACCAAACTATTCTCTGTTCCTAACCATCACTTCGTGTAAAAATAACAGTTGGTAGCTTCCACATGACTGGGTGGCGACTCATGCCTGGTGTGCGCAATCTGACCTTTCTCGAAAGCCTTTGGTCCTCCACGTGGCCGAACAGTCGGACTGTTGTATGTTATCTGACATGTTCGACTACTTTGCTAGTACACTGTCACTCCCATTCCAGGAACGTAACATCACGTTCAAACGTATGTGACGATATGTCACGTTCCTTTGAGCGTTTTGTCACATTCGTTTTAATGTGAATAAGCTAATTTGAAGCCGATTCATATCCAAACGAATGTGACACAATGCACAAAGGAACGTGACATTTAGTCACATTCGTTTTAGCGCGATGTCACGTTTCCTGGAATGGGAGTTTATCGCTCCGCCCACGTGCCTGTTGTCGGTAAACGGGCAGGACAGTGTAAGTCAACCGTGTTGGGAGGCACCCAGCTATCTGTTTGACGAGGTCCTGATGAGCACGTCCGTGCTTGGGTCGGAGCCGCGCCGCCGGCCGCCTGTCTACTAAAGTTCACACCACTGCCTGCCAACCAGTGTCACACCGCGATGGACGCTGCCAGCAACGCGACTGCCGTGGCAGCCTTGCAGTGTCCTGCAAGCAGCCCGGTGCTGCTCTTCCTGGCCGGTGTGCTCGCCAGCATCAACAACAAGAGGGAGGCCGAGAGGGCGCAGCGGCGGCAGGAAGGTGAGGTCTTTAGTTCACTCTCAGCACTTCACTGACTTTTTGCTCATTGTGTCAGTACTTATGCAAGTAATTTGTGCAACCATAATAAGTACTTTTTCTTTTTTAAAGAACTACTTAGGCAATATTAAATAATGTACTCACAATTTGGTTTTGTACATAATTTTTGGCTGAGCGATAGCGAAGCCTGTTACTCCAGTGGGGTTGAAAAGTTTTTCATGTCTATCTGTCTGTCTGTCTGTCTGTGTGCACTACTCCTCCTGAACGGCTGAGCCGATCTCGGTGAGCTTTTGCACACTTCTTGGGTATGTCCTTAGCTCGGCACGCGAAATTTCACCATCCTAGCTCTACTGGTTCAGTTTTTATAGCCGAAAAACACCTAAAAAACGGCGAAAAATAGAGCTTTCTGCAGAAAGATCACTTCCGGCTTGGAGAAAGGGGGGTCTGGGGGGCGGAGCCCCCCAGCCTCGACAAGTTAAAAAGTGACAAGGGTCAACATCGTGTTATCTATAGATAAAACAACTCTTTTTAGAATGTAGGGGGGTCTGGGGGGCGGAGCGGAGGGAGGAGTTAAAAAATAACCGACAATGGACAAGCCATTGCCTGCCGCAGGCAGGCTAGCGCCGCAGGCCAAGGTAGGTACGCCAGGCGTGGATTGGAGGAACAGGCAGCGAGACATCGCGAAGCCTGTTACGACAAGACGCGGTCTGGCGTAAACCTACCTTGTACAAAGGAAATTAGTAATATATTGATGCTTATAAGAATTCGTAACTAATGAGAAAAAAGTCAGTAACGTGCTGGTTCTCGAATGCTTTCCTGGGGTCCGCAAAAAATTGTCACCTTACAGCGGTGAGAATCAAAATTCTCAACGCTGAACTCTGAAAAAACCTTGCGAAGTATACTTCGGCATTGTGTTGCAAACTCTCTTACAAACCATTTTCTTTGCACTGCGAAGTATTACTTTGCAACTTTAAAAGAAACCGCTTTGCAACGCGTTACAGACCAGACCAATCCTTCGCAACGTTGCAAACTTTTTTCTTTGCAACTTACGAACTATTTATTTGCAATGCGAAGAAGAAAGTTCGCAAGGCAGTTCGTAATTTAAAGCCGCACTGTTAAAAATCCAATGTAATATTATGACACAATAGCCTACAGTGTTGTTGTTACATTACAACACGTCTGTTTGATGTCTGAACAGGATATCCATCATCCAGTAGACAACTCTTTTGTTTTATTACAACTTTTTTGTCTGAAAACAATAATGCGCAATAATGTAATCGTGATTAAGATCAGATATTTTGTCATTCAACAGATTTTCTGTTTATAAATAACGATAGTGCAATCCTAAAACAAACATTGTTGTCATATAATAAGGATCTTGTTAAATTACAACACGATAAGGCCAACACAAATGTGGCCAAGCCCAAACCGAAGACTCGATGGAAGTGTTGTTTCACAACAATCGATTCATCAGGAAACAGCACAGAGTGCTACAACATGTTTGTTATGAAACAAGATGTGTTAGAAAAAAAAATTAGCAGCAAAATGTTGTTACTTTCCAAAAAAAAATTTCTGACAGTGCGGAGACCTACTTCGTACTGCAAAGTACTTTTCTTTGCAAGCTGTCTAGAGTGTGGCAGTGAGAATGGTTTCACTGAAAATCTAGTAGTGATACACCTCTTCGGAAAAAGGGTGATACTTCGATGTATCACCGAAAAAAGGGTGATACTTGGATGAATCGCCGGAAAAAAGGTGAAACTTTTGACGTTGAAGAGTAATATTTGGCCCAAAGGAAAAGGACCAGTCTGGCTGATGTCTAACTTGTCGTTGATATATTGTAGCATCGTTCTTTTTTGGAGATACATTTGCGTACGACCCTGATAGAAATGTATCGTCAAAAGAATTCTTTTGCGGCGATATTGTAGTACAGCCGAAAATTGGCGAGATGTCTGACCTTTTGAATTTCAGGGATTCCCACGTCACGCTGATTCTTGCAATTCAAGCCAAAATTTGGTGAGAATTTGGATGTTCACCGGGAAACATCGCGTTTTTCGCCAAAGTTCGGTCAGGATTTTCACACCCTTCAATTTTTGGCTGAGCGATAGCGAAGCCTGTTACTCCAGTGGGGTTTGAAAAGTTTTTCATGTCTGTCTGTCTGTCTGTGTGTCTGTGTGCACTACTCCTCCTGAACGGCTCGGCCGATCTCGGTGAGATTTCGCACACTTTTTGGGTATGTCCTTGGCTCGGCACACGCAAAATTTCATTACGTACTCTAGCTCAATTGGTTCAGTTTTTATAGCCGAAAAACACCTAAAAACGGCGAAAAATCTAGTTTTCTGCAGGCAGATTACTTCTGTCTCGAAGAAAGGGGGGTCTGGGGGGCTCCGCCCCCCAGCCTCGACAAGTTGAAAAGTAACGAGGGTCAAGATCGGGTTATATGTAGATGAAGCAACTCTATCTAGGATGAAGGGGGGTCTGGGGGCGGGGCCCCCCAGCATGCAACAAAGTTGGGAGTAACCGACAATGGATAAGCCATTGCCTGCCGAAGGCAGGCTAGCGCCGCAGGCCAAGGTAGGTACGCCAGGTGCGGATTGGAGGAACAGGCAGCGAGACATCGCGAAGCCCGTTACGACAAGACGCGGTCTGGCGTAAACCTACCTTGTTAGTGTTCACCTGATCAGCAGTGAAGCTTGTTTATTTTTGTTTAGGTCGAGAGAAAGAGTTTAAAATGTACCGCAAAATCAGCGAAACTGTACAGCGAAACACCTAGCACATTCTTCACTTCGCATAATTTCACTTAATGCCCCCCCTCCCCCCAGAAAGGGAGAAAAGACAATTATTCTTACTATACATATTATATGCCAGACGAAATTGTCATCCAACTTCGGGGAATGAAATAATCGTCAACCGAGGGTAGATTCAAGAGTTTAAAAAGTCCTAGTTAAGAGTCTTTTATTCTGAGTGAAGGCACTGAATTTTGAAGACTTCTGATAACGTCAGGAAATGGCGCCCTGTCCGAGTACGACTACGTGGTGGTGGGCGGCGGTTCGTCCGGCTGTGCGGTGGCAGCGCGTCTGTCTGAAGACAGGTCCGTCTCCGTGCTCCTGCTGGAGCGGGGCGGACGTGAGCCAGAGGAAGCCAGGGTGCCGGCCTACAGCTTTAACAACATCAAAAGTGACATGGCTGAGGTGTATAGGGTAAGATTTTCAACTTGTTCACTCGAAACCCAGGAATATGACACCAAGCTGAAACGAATGTCACACACATGTGTCAAGGTCTCCCAAGGCACCTTCAAAAAGTCTTAAAGTAAATTTACACTGCAAATCTAAACGTACCGCACGCTCAAGTCCTCACGGATACCGTGTTTGTAGGTTACGGATAGTTTTGTGCAGCCATATTACGGATCGAATTTTGTTTGTTATACGGATGTTTTGGTCCGTAATACAAACACTGAGAACCCAAACGTGGTCCAGACCGCACCATTGCGGTGTGGTCAGATGGGTGCCATTTTGACCACATCAGTTGGTGTGGTCAAGACCACGTTTGGTGCGGTCTCGACCACGTTTGGCCACGTTTGGTGTGGTCTAGACCACGTTTGGCCACGTTTGGTGCACTCTTAAAACCTTACGAAGTATTTTGAGCATACATATAACAAACTAAAATACTTTGTTAAACGAAGAAATAGTTCGTAAATTACGAAGTATTTTCTTTGTAAGCTTACGTATGCTCAAAATACTTTGTTATACAAACTACTTTTCTTTGTAAGGCCCAAAATAGTTTGTAAGGTTTTCTCAGTGTGCGGTCTAGACCACGTTTGGCCACGTTTGGTGTGGTCTAGACCATCCATTTGACCACACCAGTTGGTGCGGTCTAGACCACGTTTGGTTTTTCAGTTTACAACGAAATTATCTGTAAATTACGGACATCAAAACCTTTGTATAACGGACAAAAACATCCGTATTACAAACAAAATTCGATCCGTAATATGGCTGCACAAAACTATCCGTAACCTACAAACATGCTATCCATAAGGACTTTACTGTGCGCATGAGCTTATTTTGGCCGAAAACACTAAGCAGCAAAGAACTGAAGCTGTTTCGTGTCTTGTTAACTTTTACTTCTTGTTTGCTGGGAAATTCACAATGTTAACATACTTTAATGAAACGGCAGGAACAATACAGCTTGGTATGACTATGCAACAGGGATCCTTAAGTTAACACTTAACTGACACTGCTTTCATAACGTAACATGTTCGCTCAAGGTTAAGGGTACGGACTTATGCAAGTACTTCCAAAAGTATCTCCACATTAATACGAGACACAAGAAAACTAACTTATTCTTTTGAAAATAATTCAGATGTTAAGGGTTATGACTTTCACTCGTGTAAATCTTGTCAGAATGTCAGAAACTTGTCTGAAAACCTGATCGAAATTCGCGCACATCTGAAAGCTGCTGATTCTGACATTCCGTAGAACTCAGGCCATCTTAGAGTAAGTCTTCAGAATTTCAGCTTTCAGAGGTGCGTGAATTTTGATCAGGATTTCAGACATGTTTCTGACATTCTGACGAAATATCACACGAGTGTTAACTCGTAGGTCAAAGGTTTTGATTGCCCTTTTGAGGTAAGTTAAGGATCCCTGGACTTAAAGCATTAACGACATGGTGTAGTCCTATTTGTTAACCGGGAATTAGAATGTTTGGGTTGGCATCGCCATGCATGATTTGAGGACGTCCTCACTCAAGACTCCTTACGGACACCATGCATCCGCAATACGGACGGTTTTGTGCAAGCGTAATTACGGATGGATTTTGGTTGTAATACGGATGATTTTATCCGTAATACAAAGGTTTTCGTGTCCGTAACATACAGACGAAAATATCCGTATGGTATGGACGTAAAACTCTTTGTAATACGGATGATTTCATCCGTACTACAAGCAAAATCTATCCGTAATTGCAATTGCACAAAAATGTCCGTAATACAGATAGGATGTATCCGTAAGAAGTTTAGTGTGCTCGGCTTGCAGGCTGAACCTGAATCGCAAAACTGCAACTCTACTGGCTGTGTCATCAACGTCCCAGCGGTGCTTGGCGGTGGAAGCACTCTGAACGGCATGCTCTACGTCCGCGGGAGCAAGGAGGATTACGAAGAGTGGGCCAGGCTGACGGAGGACAGGGGCTGGGCCTACGACAGCGTGCTCCAATATTTCAAGAAGGCCGAGGACAACTTAAACCCAACCATCAGTGAGAACAGAAGTAAGCTTAGCACAGTGGGCCAGAAGGCCGGTGGAGGCGGACAAAACTCTAGACTAGTTTGAGCTCCAGAGTCGCTAAACAAGCCTCAAACCGAACGTGTGACCCCACCAATGGATTGGTCGGGTCATTCGTTCGGGTCAAGTCCCATTTAGCGATTCTGGAGCTCAAAACGCCTAGAGTTTTGGCCGCCCCCACCGGTCTTCTGGTCGACTGTGCTTAGGTTGTTTTCGGCACACTGCACACTGAGGAACCAAGTGCGGAGAGCGCAGAGCTCACGCATCCCGGTGCGAGGTAATTCACCACGCCTTACGGACACTGCCTAACCGCTTCAAGCGTGCGTAGGATACCACGGCCGCGGCGGCCCGCAGAAGGTGTCCTGGGAGCCGTATCGGCACCCCGCCATGCCGCTCTTCCAGCGGGCCTTCCAGGCCGCGGGCGTGCCCTTCCGCCTGGACATCAACGCCGAGAGCCAGCTGGGCCACTCCGTGGTGCAGACCACCACGGCCGGCGGCGAGCGCTGGTCCACGTACCGCAGCTACGTGGAGCCCGTACTGCGGAGGGCCAACCTGCGCGTCGAGACCTTCGCCACCGCCAGGAGGGTGGTGCTGGACGCCGAGGGCCGCGACGGGCTGCGGGCGGTCGGCGTCGAGTACGAGGACGCGCGGGGACAGGTGCGACCTACAGATCAAATGTGTACTGAGTGCACACCTGTGGAAGTGTACTTAAAAGCACACATCCACAGTGTGAACACTTCCACCCATTTGAGAGCTCAATCCCAATAGAGGGAGTGTCCCATACTCTAGAAACTGAAGAGTGTGCATGGCATTGCTTCCCCAGGGAGTCTGCTATGCACACTCTTCCGTTTATAGAGTAGCTGTGTGCTTGTCTGAGCATACTCCTCTGTGTGCTTCGAAGTACTCTGCAATTTGAACAGTGTACTCAGTACACACTCTTTAGCGTGTACTCACGAGTACTTTCCCACGAATGTGAAGTAGTGGCAATATACAATGTGTATACAATGTGAAGAAGTGACTCACCAAAACAAATTTTGTGCCATAGATCCGCGTGGTTGGGGCCAAACGGGAGGTGGTACTGACGGCCGGTGCCGTGCACACGCCTCAGCTGCTGATGTTATCCGGCATCGGCCCGGCCAGCCAACTCAGGGTAAAAGTCTTAAATTTCAGAGAGAAACTCCTGTGTCATATGTTAGGCGCTATCAAATACTGTGAAAACAAAACTTATTTTTGCACAGCCACCTTCACAGTATAAAAACTATGCGCGAAGAATCGCTCTATGAAGAAAAAGAATGCATTGTTTATGAAGAAATGCTTCGTATTCTAAGACAAAATCCTTGGTAATACGAAGCGATTCTACGATGCCTTCGTTTTCTTTGAACACTGTTAAAAAATAGATGCACAGAAACAATCAGATGATAGCAAATTTGGTTGTTTCAAAGCTTAGAATGTCGTCATGGACCTAGGCGAAACAAATGTCGTCGAATCTAGAAAGCGACACTTTGTTGAGCAAATTTGTTGGTATCACCATTAACGATACGATTTGCGTGCAAACAACATCTTTTGCCATTGTGTATCTGCTAAATTAAAATTATTGATGAATAATATTGGAATCATCATGATCTGTTTTGTTCTTCTAAGTCATAAAGAAATTACTATTACTACAAGAAGAACCGTGAAGAACAAATCTAGCGACAAAAGTACTGATCAATATTTGTCGCAGTCATTACTACAAAATCTTTTTTACTTACAATGCTTGTCGTGGACTAACAACATAAGTTGTTCGTCAATGACCAGGGATCCTTAACTTACCTCATAAGGGCATCATAACGTTATGATAAGAGTTAAAGTTACTACCCTTAACTTCAAACATCTTTTCAAAAGGGGGAGGTTATTTTTTAATGTCTCGAATTTGTGTGGATATACTTTTGCAAGTACTTTCATAAGTCCGTACCCTTAACCTTTAGTGAACATTGTCTTATGTTACGTTTTGAAAGCAGTGTTAGTTAAATGTTAAGTTAAGGGTCCCTCTCAATGACTTGTTTTTGAAGGTGGATTGCTAACATGTTATTACAAGTTTGTCGTAGTGAAATTATCCTTTAGTTCCAATACGACTATGGTTCAACAAGCTTATCGTTCCAAAACAAATCTTGTCGCCAAAAAAAGCAATAAATGTGTCGTTAAGTTTCAACAACATTTTTATCACAGTAGTTATGAAGCAAATGCTTCGTAGGCTGTTTAGAGTGTTAAATGTATTAGCATATTCATCCAGCTCTGATTAAACACAAAAGCAAAGGCTGGTTTGAACACATTTTCCGGTTGCAATTCCTATGTTGTTGTGCAACTAGATTAGATGAAAACTAACATCAATGCGTTATTACAAAACGTTTTCTCAATTATTTGCCAAACTTCTGTGGCCTCAGTCGCATGTCCCATGCCGATTATGTTCTGTGTGACCTGCGCCTTTCTGTTTCTCTAGGCGCTGAGCATACCTCCGCTCAGGGACCTGCCCGTGGGCGCACGTTTGATGGACCACCCTGACGTGTCCGGCGTGCCGTACAAGTGCGCGCCTCCACTCTGTGTGACGGACTGGCAGAGCCGTCTGGGTGACTTGCGCCAGTACAGAGAGAACCGGACAGGCCCGTTGTCTGCGGTCAACTTCCCACACTTGATGTCTTTTACCAGGAGCTCGCTTGCCAAGCCTCTGACGGGCGACCAACCGGACGTTCAGATCCAACTCGTCGGCCGCACTGTCGACGGGAATGTGAAGTACGTTCAGCCTTGAACTGGTCCTAAATAGGAAGAAGCACCAAATTCAAAAGTAAATTGCAACGTTTTGTCCTAAGGTTTGACCGACCCAAAGACAATATGTCAGGGCACGTTTTCCCCGCAATGATGTCTTTAAAACAGACGATGCCTTAGTTGTCTCTGCTGCAGCTCTGCTGCGCCCATAGAATGGGTATGGGAGCTTTGTTGGGTACTGAGTCATCTGAAAATGCTAATTATCATCCTCTAATTTTTCGAAAAGAGAGAACGCATTTCGACAGTGTCGAAGCACCTTCTCAATCACATCCTGCATTTTCCCCCAGCTGCTTGCCGCAAGACGCTTGGCGCCTCAACAGGGTGGTTCCCATCGTCTCCCTAATGCGCCCCTACAGTGAAGGGTGGGTGCGCCTCAACACGTCAAATCCGTACGGCCGTCCGCTGGTCAAGTTCAACTACTTCGGGGACGCCGATGGCCACGACATTGCAGTCGTCAATGAGGGTCTCAAGCTGGGCCTCAGGCTGAACGCCACCCTCGCCACGTTCGGCCTGACCCTGGACAAGGACAGCGTCCGAGATTGCACGTGAGTAGCAAAGGACATTCACATTGAAGGATATGCGACCCGTTTGCGAGCAAATGATGACTTTAATACATCCGATTTCTCATGCCGGAAGGAGGTCTAGCTACGAGAATTCACAATGCCTACGGGGCATTCCACGTCAAACCATCGGTCCAAAACGTACTTGTTCAGATCCGGCTCCCAATTTTTTCTAGCCTACCACTCAAGGACCACTCATATAAATGTTAAAAAAAAGAAATCAGAACTTTTCGACCATATTGGTGTCAAAAAGCCCTTGGGGGTTCTCTAACTGCCAGCAAAATATGGGGGACGGCAACCCACAAACACCAGAGATATTGTCCAAAAACTCTAAAAGTTATCTTAGTGGATCCCCAAAAATTTACTGTATGACACCCATATTTGCTCCCGTGCATTAAAAAGTTATCCTATAGTGTCTGTCTTAACACTCTGGAACCATTCCGAGGTGAAGGTCAGCATCGAGTTGAGGGCTACACTGTTAAAAATTGTTGTTTTAAAACAACAACACAATTACCTACCTCGACAACGCTGTTGTTTGTGAACAAGTTTGCTTGTTTTAAAACGACGAATTCGTTGCTAATTATTTTTATGACTTATGCTATTTCAAAACAATATTTTGTTGCGTACAAACAACCCGCACAATCTAAGAAGTGGTTACTGCGGGGTAACCGGGACTCTACTAGGTCTGTGACCTAATCGGCAATAAAAATTGATGCAAATAAGGCTGTCTACCGGTTTACAAACATCTTGTGGACGAACGACGCAACTCGTTAGTAAACAACGAAAGTCATTTGAAAACAACTTTGATCGCTAAGAAAATTAGGAACCTATTTACTGCTAAATTACAACATAAATTTTTACAGTGTACGATTTCTTTCCGTGTAGTGCCTAAATTCTTGAAATGCTCACGAAAAAATTAGGAGCCGGATCTGAGCAAGTACGTATTGGACCATGATGGTTGGCGTGGAATGCCCCCTACCGTCGCTCTTTCCAGGTCTGAGGGCCCTTTCGGCTCGGAGGGGTTCCTCCGCTGCATTGCGCGCACGCGCACGCAGACGGCGTGGCACTGGAGCGGCACGTGCCGCATGGGCCGCCCCGGCGACTCGGCGGCCGTGCTGGACTCCCGGCTGCGCGTGCGAGGCGTGCGGAGGCTGCGGGTCGCCGACGCGTCCGCCATCCCCTTCATCCCCAGCGGCAACATCAACGCGGCCGTCATCATGCTGGCCGAGCGCGCCGCCGACCTCATCAAGCGCGACCGCCTGCTGCGCATCTTGAACCCCTTCGACTGAAGCGGCGTTCAGAACGGGGGCCCGGCAATTGCCTGACAATGATGAATGGAAGTTCAAGATTTTCATGACATTATCGTCAAGCTGAAACCATAGCAGTGTAATTGAAGTTTTCTTTGCCTAAAAGTTATTGGGATCAGTTATGTAGCACAATGGAAGTAAGGTTTTGAAAATAAATGCGGTGCACATAATTTAATAACCCGTTTTACGTCAATAACTGACAATCGTTTAGTTATACTTCCGACACCACCCCTAAACCAAACGAGGTAAATGTACTAGGGATGGCTCCGGCACTACTATCGGTCGGTATCTTTTGGTATTAAACCGGTATACAACCGGAGCAAAAACACCAGTTTTTGATGGTATATTATTCCTTTTGATCAGAAGTTGACACAACATCCAAAAAAGGTCAAACGGTCAGAGAAAGTAGACCATCCAGTGGTGTTTTTTACTCGTTCTTTACACACCACTCACTAACATACAAGGTAGGTTTACGCCAGACCGCGTCTTGTCGTAACAGGCTTCGCGATATCTCGCGGCCTGTTCCTCCAATCCGCGCCTGGCGTACCTACCTTGGCCTGCGGCGCTAGCCTGCCTTCGGCAGGCATTGGCTTGTCCACTGTGGCAAAAAGGTACGGAAAATCCTGTTAATTTTTTTGCCAGGATTCTCCGTAGCCCTCTTATCAATATTCTCCGTAGGCTCTTACAGTATTCTCCGTAGGGCCGCACAGTATTCTCTGTAAATCCGCACAGTCTTCTCCGTAGGACCTCGAAGACTGTATAGTCCTACGGAGATCACTGTGCGGTCCTACGGAGAATACTGTGCGGTCCTACAGAAAATACTGTAAGAGCCTACGGAGAATATTGATAAGGGGCCTACGGAGAATTACCACAAGCTGTTTACAGAATTTTCCGTAGCTTTTTGCCACAGTGTCCATCGTTGGTTCCTTCTTACGAGTTGCATGCTGGGCCCCCCAGACCCCCCTTTTTCTAGAAAGAGTTGCTTCATCTACAGATAACACGATCTTGACCCTTGTAACTTTTCAACTTGTCGAGGCTGGGGGGCTCCGCCCCCCAGACCCCGCTTTCTTCAAGACAGAGGTGATCTACCTGCAGAAATCTCGATTTTTCGCCGTTTTTAAGGTGATTTTCGGCTATAAAAACTGAACCAGTTGAGCTAGGATAGTGAAATTTCGCGTGTGCCGAGCCAAGAACATACCTAATAAGCCTGCAAAATCTCAGCGAGATCGGCCGAGCCGTTCAGGAGGAGTAGTGTACACACACACACACACACACACACACACAAACAGACACACAGACAGACAGAAAAAACTTTGCAACCGCTGGAGTAACAGGCTTCGCTATCGCTCAGCCAACAAAACTCTATGTGAAGAGAACGAGTATTGTGTTCAAAAATGAGTTTTGGGGGGACATCTTTCATCTCAGATCTCACAGCATGTGGGAAAATGAGAGTGGTATCAAATGAAAGATGGAGTGTCAGTCGCTTGATCGTAAATGAAGTTTTTTTTTACTTGCAATGAGAAATATTGAGAAAACGAACATGAAAGAGAGACGTTTTTAGTGCACTATGTGAAACTAACCTCTTTTCACGTGTCTGTATCTTTTGATGTTGAACGCCACTGAAACGCAAAGTACAACAACAATGACACGAGGTCAACAAAAATCTAGGAGGGTTTTTTGCAAGTGACAATGGATAATTTTGAGAAATTTGGTAATAACGAAACTTTGTTTGACCCTAACCATGATACATATCTCAGAACTGCAAGCTGTGTCATCTTAATGAATTTCTTTTTGATGGTGTTGCACGTCTTAGGTTCGAGATGAGAGATGAAATGATAAGTTTCATTTGACTGATTTCTAAAATAAATGTGTCCTTCTGAGGGTTTTGATCATGGAAAAAGCAGGTTTTTGGCACGGACTCACGGACTCTAGTGTAAATTCGATTATGCACGAGAATCGATATCTCGAGATATCGCGATGCATCGACGTTCCCTGCCTGATCGAACCAACCGGAAGCGTTCGTTAAAAGGCAAAATTACAAATCGTCAGAGGACAATTCATGTAACGATCAGCGACTGACACATCAATCTAGCTTTGTAAAGAACGAGTCCCTTCCATGTGATATCAATTCTTTGATGTCTTTCCTTCTTGTTTTTTCTCTATATAATATATCTTTACCATGTTTCTTTTCTTCAATACATTTCCGAATGTACCGTGCACTTATTGGACTCTTCCTCGTTTCCCCCTCTCCTCGTCCCTTCCTTGTTTTTCAATTTTTTCTCACCGTCTGCCTTAAAATTACTTGTCACATACATTCATTTCACAGCATCATAGAGAACTAGCTAGTTTTAATTTAAAAAATATGGGTTAAACTAGGCCATGCACCACATTCTAAAAAAAAAAAAAAAATACCAAAACCGGATTTTATTTGGTTTTGAACAAAAAAATAAAAAAAAAGAATGGTATTTTACCATCCCTAGAATTAACTAGCGGCTCCCAACTCCTGATGTTGCAAGCAGTTCCACATTGACAGTCCCGTAGACTCCGTCGTAAACATGTATGAAACTTCAACGTACGTATACGTTCGCCAGTTGACGGCTGAAATTCGCTACATGCCAGTTTAGTGAGCAGGCATGCCTTATCTTGCGCTAAATGGGAAATTGCTGAATCCAGCGCGTCAGAGGATCCACTGCCGAGTGATGGTTGACACGCATCTACACGATACGACTGTGTGTGTATAACTCCAGCGTTGCGTTTCATTGAACGATCACGCCGAGTGTCCGCTTCACTCTACGTCAGCAGGCGGTGACGGATGGGCCTGCAATTGAGGGGAGAGGTGTGTCATTTACTCACCACCCATTGATCAGTCCCAACCCACGACCATCTGAATGTGCCCCACGATAAAGGAACATCACACGGGGACACACACTCTCTCGCACCACCTTGAGACTTCGACACTCCGTAGAAAAATGTCCACCAGTGACGCGGTCCTGTGGGTTGCCCGGGTGTCTGGCCTCGCGCCGTACTGCGGCAAACCACGACTGCGTTTGTCTCAAGTGTGGCTCGCCTACAGTGCAACGCTCTTGATACTGGTCACCTCAGGGCAGGTAAGGTTTGTTGCAGGATGAGTAGAAAGATATCAAAAGGGTAAGAACTACAGAAATCCCGTGTTCGTTCACTTTAGTGCTCACTAATGTTTTTGTACAAAGGTCGTACGAGACATCACAGTTTATAGTGCACACGAACTTTCCGTACAAATATGCACGTGATTTTGTATAGAAATGGTCAAATAAGTGAAGTTTTTCTTACAAAATTTGTACGAAAAGTTCGTGTGCACAAGAAACTGTGATGCACTGCAAGAAAAAGAGTGGATAGAACAACAAAAGTACAACAGGGATTGTAGAAAGTTCACCGAGAATTGTACGAACTACGAGGCCTGGACTGCACAGCACTCGTCATGCCGGTTCAATTGCACTTTGTACAACAATTGTTGTAGTACAGTAAATTTCTGATAAAAATTTGCCACAAATTTGTGTATTTTAGTTGTGGTTATTTCTTGCAGCGTGCCTCGAACAAAACTGTACATAACATTAAGTGTGTGCCTGAAATCTCTGGAAATCTGAAATCTTACCTCAGAAGGGCAAAAGAGAGCGTAAATCGGTCAAAGTCTTGCGCAATACGAGGGAATCCGTTTCCTTGAGAAATCTGGTGTCACCACACATCGAGAGAGGTAGGCCCCTTGGCAAAGTCTGTTTCGACCAGACACGCCGGCCTGGCGCCGCAGGAACTTCGTATTGTTAATAAACGTGGTCGCCGCGCCACCCAACATCATTGCGGGTCCTTTCAGAAAGTGGCTCTTTCTCCAAAACGTGAGCAAGATTTTGGAAATTTCTGTGTCGAAGTAATGTTTATTTCGTTAACAGAGCCCTTGGAAACAGAAAAATTCAATTTAAAAAATCTGGTTGTTGACCCAACACCTGATACAGCCGTCACTTCCATGGAATACCCAATTCTTATTCCTCAGCAATGAATTAAAATTTTTTTCCCGACTATCTCTAGGCTGTTCGGATGGCACTAACAAAACGGTCTGGGGATGTGACGGAGCTCGTGTCACGCATCAGCTGGGTTTGCAGTTCGATTTTGACGTGTGCCTATTGCTTTTGGAGGCAGTATGCCAACCTCGTGGAAATTCTAAACGAAACTCGGGACGTCGATGCTACACCGACAGGTTAGTTCGGAGAGACAAATGAGAGATCGTTATCGCAAAACGTGAATGTGAGTAGATTTTCTTGACTGCATTTTCTAAAGAAGAGATCATTGCAGGGGTTTTAGGACTTGGCGACAAGTCTGCATTAGGCACTTTTGAACAAGATCAGAAAAGATGAATGTGGAAATTTTCACACGTCCTAATTGCAGCTGTCCAACTTAAAGGGCAGCCATATTGTGATTGGAATAAGCATTCTGGTCGTCGCCGATCGAAGAGCAAAAAGAAGAACAAAACCGGAAGCCGGGAAGAAACGGAGTAGGTATCATGCCCGGTTCCAGCGAGGAATGTCGAGAAATATTTTAATTTCCTGTTTCTAAAAGTGTTTGGAACAAACGAAAATGCTTTTGAAGGAGATACGCCACAGAAAACTCAGTAACTAGTCCACTCATAGAAGTCTGGGACGTTATGTAGCCGGCGCCAGTTCCGGCTTTGTTCTTCTGCTTGTTCTTCGATCGGCGACGACTAGAATACTCTATTGGCTGGAACGACTTTCTATAGCACCTGTCATTTCAGACAAGTCATTTTTGAGGAACTAATTCGACAGATCAGCGAATCGGCCCGGGGGAGCCGGTTGCTGGTTACGCTGGCGCTCACCGGTCACCAATGCGGCCCCGGTGCTTTCTTCTTTTCACGTTGCTGCCCGTGACCATCCACTTCCTCTGCTGCACACTGATAGTTTTCTGTCGGTGCCTGGTAAACTAAACTTAGAATAGGGGGACTTCGTGAAAGCTGAACCAACAAGCAGCCGAGACGCCCAAATTTCCGGAAACTAAACCCCTCTTATCAAAAACTATAGCCGAGCTGAAAAATTGCTCGCGAAACACATATGCACTGCAAACAAGTTCAAAAATGTTTTTGTTAAGTGTGGGAACCTTTGCGAACGTCCTTTCCCCCTGTCAAGTTTTATTTCC